ATTCAGTTTCCTATAATCAATACAGAGACGTATGGTTCCGTCTTTCTTTTTAACTAGCACGACAGGTGAAGCCCACGGTGAACTAGATTTCTGTACAACTTTTTGATCCTTTAGCTTCTGTAACATTTGTTTGACTGTATCAATCATTGCGAGTGGTACTGGGCGAGCTTTCTGCTTTATTGGCAAGGCGTCCCCTGTATCAATAAAGTGTTGAACGTGCTTCGCCTGTCCCAACTCAAAATCCGATAGCGCAAACACATCTGCAAATTCAGCGATGATCTCCTGTAACTCTGTATCTATAGGGCATTTGTTCTCAACTAGTTTGTGCCAAATACTTTCAATTCGCATTGAGTCAAAAAGCTGTTCAGCTGTGCACTGATTATTCTCCGAATTCAAATTCAACATTTCCGAGCATTGTTTGGTGGACTTTGTTCCTAGTTGTGATTCAACTGCCTCCCATTCGATGACATTTTTTCCATCGATCATTTCGGCTAGTAGAGGGTCACGTTTACGCAACAAGAGGGGTTTTTCTTGTGCATTTCGAACTAGTAATTTGCCATTACCATTTTTGTCTAAAGCCACAACATATTCATGCTTAAGGAACGACACAAGGTGTACTCCTGAGTACTCTCCTCGGATAGGTATAATTCGGTTACTGCCCGGTAGTATGACTTCATTGCTTGTAAAGCTCACAGTTGTGTGCTTTGTTTCAATTGGTGACTTATCTGCGGCGATAGATTCTTCATCAACCCACAACGAGACACGAATTCCTGCTTTATGTAGACCGTTCATACCTAGCAACACTGTGTCATCTTCCCGATCAAGAATATAAAAACCGATGGTTACCGTCTGGCCGTCATTGACTTTCACTGGCAGTTTGCAACGTCCGATTAATGGCATCAAATTTCTTGAAGCATCAAGAATGTGGAGTTCTTGAGCCGATTTTCTTTCAAGAGAAATATCGAAATTTTTCAAGGCCGCATGTGGATTCGAGTTAGCTTTTCTTAAAAATGCTTTAGATACTAGCGAGATATCTGCGCCTGTGTCAATCACTATAGTAGCATCCATAAAAGCAATTTGACCCCGAAGCTTCAATTGTTCTCCCGTAAATTCGCTTTGGTCACCTTTTATGGAGACCATTCTCAATTCATTAACAGTTAAAGAACGTGAAATACTAGAATTCGATTCACTTAATATTGGGTTATAAAATAGCTGATTTAAGCAAAATAAATGGGATTTAGGGGTCGAGTTCCCCTTCCTCAATAGTTGCCTGGGTCGATGACCACCGCAGCAAGCCGAAAATCCGTCGGCGACACACAAGCTTTTTGTGCAGCACTTAGCACAACGTTTCCATTCCTCAACTGTCTCAAAACAGTCGGCAAGGTCTCCCAAAGACCGCTCTTCACAAGGTTTCCCAAAAACCTTTCTCCGTCCAGGCTTCCCAAAAGCCTATCTTCTCCCAGGTTTCCCAAAAACCTCTCTTCTCTCAGGTTTCCCAAAAACCTGTCTTCTCCCAGGTTTCCCAAAAACCTATCTTCTCCCAGGTTTCCCAAAAACCTCGACAAATCGTCAGTAAAACTTGGTCCAGCTGCAGTAGGATACCAAGTCGCTAAAGCCTCCCAAAGACTCAGCTGTAGAATTCGACTTACAGCCCCAATCGAGATGTTCCTGCTCGATACCGGCGAACCTACATGTGTACAAAAAATAAAGACAAAATTTTTGTTAGTGGGACATAATTTCACAAGATTCGCGCTCGAAGTCAGGGGGTTGGTTGTATTGAATACAAAAACACAACCGAGTATGGGCCTATTGGGGCTCACGTGGCCATCGTGATTCTTTTCGGCCACCACACTCATCTCCTTGACCTCGGGACACTCGACACGGATCGACCAAACGACACCATTTGACTTGCACGAGTTATGAGTTCCTTTGTTCTGAGTAGGGGCCAAGAAATCCTCTGGGATTTGACCCAGTGTGACGGACGCCACCTCTCTTTGTTGCACAGCTTCCTTGCCTATAACAATCTGGCTAACGGTTTGGTTTTTGTGACAAAACCGTATACTATGTCCGGACTTTCCGCATTTAAAGCAATTGTTGTTTCGCAAGCTCCGCACGTTTACATTTCTACCGTTCGACACTTGTTGCGTTATTTCTCTAGGCTTCTGTCCGAAGTAATTCAAATTCTCCGTACCATTTTGCTGGTTGGAATCCGTAGAATTCTGAAACCATTCACTACTATTTAATCTATTCATTTGTTTTTGTGGCTGCATGTTCGCCTGATTGTTGCCGCGATTCGGCACAAAAGAATTGAATCGGCGATTGAATCCTTGGTTTGGTTGAATGACTTGAATTTTGGGTGTCATGGAAAGCTTAGAATAGTATTGGCTACGGAGAAGACGATTTTTCAACTCAGTATACTAGTTGTTTTCTTGCATAGAACACTTACAAGAGTTTCAACTTTTTCTTCGACGGCTTCTTTCAGCTTTTCCACAAGATTCCCCAACACTTGTTTCGAAACACTTACATTCTCTAGGAGCCCCTCTTCGTGTCGACTCGCAGCATCAGTTATCTTGCCTGTCATCTTTTCAATTTACCCTGAAAATATAAAAATTAGCGTTGTAGACGGAAAGTAATCGAAAACAAAGCAATATAATCAACATGGGTGTAAATTTGCGAATAACGATCGTGGGGAAAGTAATTTCGGAGTTTCATGCGCAAGAAATATGCCGATACTTTCAAGAATCAAAATTCTTCGACTCATGAGGAAAATAATTGATTCAAATCACAAATGAATTGTTCCTGGTCGGATTCATTGAACTAAACGAATGTTTGTTCAAAACGCCTCTGCAAGTCTTTCTATTCGACTTATGATTCCAATGAGGTCAAAATTTACCCTTTCTCTCGGGTCATAAGAGTCGGATCAACCGTTTCTCCTAACAGATCCCTTTCAGCCTTTCTGTTCAGCTGGATCTTTCATTTTTCCTCTTAGTTCAACCACTGTCCTCCCAAAGGCTTGTGGATCGGTTCGGCCCCCAGTTTGGGGTGCGACCCGCTTTAACCTTATCATCGAGGATGATTTTGCTTCAGAATAGCCGAATTGCACAAAGAAGGTTAAAAAGGGTTTCCCCAAAGCGCTTACAACATAACAAGAACGAGCAGCATCCAACACAAGATTAATACTCGTCGGTGGCGACACAAATGTTAGTAAGCTCTCGCTACAATGTTAAACCAGTTATCTACAGGATTTAAAACCTGAAGGGTAGCATAAAGTAAGTTGAGTTTATAATTTTACTGTTTATTAGTACAAAACCAAAATGCAACAATACCTATTACAAAGACAGCATGCGCATCAAAAGAAACAACCAAAGTCCCCCAAGAGGGAAGGCAAAAGCAACCCGCAGACCCAAAAAAAAAACAATTTCGGGAAGGGAGAAAAGGGCGAAAAATGCGACGCGAATAATTGCAAAATAGCAACGCAAATAGGAAGGAAACGGACGCGACCGCCTCGGTAAACTCTAAAAGTTTTAAACTGAAATAATACAAAATTTTTTAGTACCTTTGGAAGCTCTATGTTGTGATCACGCTTTAGGTGTTTTGTCATTGCGGTTGTCGCAAAATTCGACGTACTGCTCTCGTGGCGAAAATCCCCAATATTGCATAGCGCGAGGTCTCGATTTACAATTTTGAAATATTTCCACACCCATGATCTTCGGTTCTTCTCATCACTAAAACGACACTATGGGCAATAAAACTAAAAGAAATACCGTAATTTCCGAGTCTTTACATTGGTCTTTTTTGCAGAAATCCTTGTTTCGAAATCAAATTGCTCGTTAAATTCGAAGGTATTCATTCTAAATTGTATAATGTTTCAATTTCAGTAAAGAACCAAACTCTTCTGCTTACAAAATAAAAATTAAATCAGCATATCAGTTTTGCAAGCAAGTCTTTTTGCTCTTTTTCATAATTCCTTTTAAAAGTTTGGTATATAGCCAAATTTTCAGAGAAATTCATTTAGCCTATTTCTTCGTAGAGATTTTTATAGATTTTCACGAGAAATCCATTTTCGCATTTGGTTTTGCTTGGGAATGAATCTAAATTGACATAAAGAGATGGGAAATTAAATAATAAACCCTTTTTATTTGGAGCAAACCATCAATTAGTGAATTTTTCATTTTCAAACGCAAGTACGAAAAAGGGCGAAACGACTTGTTTGCCAACCTAATACCTCATTTCCTCTTCAACTTCTTCGTTTTGTTCTTCACGAATTTCGTCATCACTAAATGAAAGCCTTTACCGTAAGCTATAAAATATTATGCATAAGAGTTAAAAGCAAAATAATAAGTTATTTTACAAAGAGTCAAAAAAAGATACCGGCTTATATCGTGTCGTTCTTCCATTTTCGCTGGACAGACAACTTTTCCAGCCTAAAAAAGATGTCTTCAGTACAAACGTTCCCATAAAGCAAAGAAATAAAAAAAAGTAAAAAGCATATTTTGCAAAAAAAAACGCAAATGGCAATACTAAATCAATATTGCGAAAAAATGAGTGAAATGAACGACAAAAAAATATTTGCATCTTTAAAATTTACATGTTAGTTTATATGCAAATTGGGTTTTGGTTTTGGCCTGTCTTGGTTTTGGTTTTGGTTTTGGTTTTGGTTTTGGTTTTGGTTTTGGTTTTGGTTTTGGTTTTGGTTTTGGTTTTGGTTTTGGTTTTGGTTTTGGTTTTGGTTTTGGTTTTGGTCTGTTTTGGTTTTGGTTTTGTTTGCCGAACTCTAGCATCATGTGTTTTTTGAAAATAAATAATCTGGCTTGGGGTAACAAAAAAAAGAAGCGTTATCGTTTGTTTTTTCCCCTCACTTTTTCACCTTTTTTCCATGCAATTTCGCATAAAAAGAAAACATTTCCTCACAATCAGGATTGATTTTCTCCGTTAGCACATTGAAGACGCTTATCAGTTTCTCTTTGCACATAACCATTCATTTTTCAAAAATTGCTTCAATGTTTTCTAATCCACTAAACTTTGGCCATTTGCCCACGGAACTTCGATCGTTGATCGTGAATTGGCTGCATGATGATGAAGCCCATCAAATGTTGGCGGTGAGTAAAATGAGTCGAAATTTGGTGCTCCGACGCGGCAATTTCCCGAAATTCATTCAAGAATTAAAGCTCTGGTGTAAAGAGCAAAGAGATGTTGAAGGTGAAATGAAAATCGATGGAATCGATGGAATCGATTCGGCCTTGCAAATCAGTTTGATCTATCGAAAAAATACACTGGAGGAGCGCTTTTATACAATAGAAACCACTCTTGTCGATCAAATTCTCTGGAAACAACTGAACAAAAGGTCGATCAAGAAACTTGTCATCACCCTGATGGAGCTTGGCAGCGAGTTTCCTGAGGCAAATGCAGAAAATCTGCAAAATCTCGGTCGATTTCTCTCCACATTCCCCGCATTGCATCTCATCCATTTCGAGGCTCAACACAGTTTTTTCTCCGTTTTCCTCGAAACATTCAATCCGATTGTCGATGTGGAATTGGCGAGCCTCCACGTTCATCCCCATCACAATCAATGCGATGACGTTGATGCGGCTTATGCAATTCTCGCCGAAAAGCCGTTCCTAAAAAGTACCAAATTTTTGAACATCGGCTCAGGCACGAATCAATGGGCAATAGCCAGACAAACGACGGCCGTCCACGTTGAGATCAACTGTGATCACTCCTTTAGTCAGCTCTCTGACATGGTTGAGGAAATCGGTGATAAGGGGATCCCTAGCATGCACCCCTCCGCCTCGTGTCAAATCCGAAGCTATCGTCAAATCCATGTGCGTCGTGCGGAAATCCTATCAGTAATAAGGAAAAAGAATCAAATTCAAATCGTTTATCGGGAAGATTTGATGAGGAACGAGTTGCACTCGTTGCGCCGCCTTCAATACTTTAGTTCACCACGATACGCTGTGCGCAAAGGGTAAGGAAATGTTTTTTTTAGCATTATTCCCGTAAATCCTCTATTAGAAGAAATGTTAAATAAAAAGAATAGCCTTAAAGCTTTTGAGTGAGGTTGCCACTGAAGAGTTGTGTTTTTCCTAGCCATACTTGAGGTCCCATTTTTAGGATCATTTTTTTCCCAAATTTATCATTTTCAGTCATTAGTCTTGAGTCATTTTTCCACTTATTCGATGTTTTCATGGCCACAATCATAGTTTCCCTGAACTTCTAGAACTTTCCCCTGAACTTTTCCCGCTTCCCTGAACTTCTAGTATCCAGAAAACAAGCATAAAAATATTGCATCCACAATTTTGTTTTTTTTTTCTCCAACCACAAACTTGATCTATCTTTAGCTCTATCAGAAATGAAAAGAGGGTAACATTCAAAAGTAACTACAATATTCAGATTTACGATCGATCGGCTTAATGGTGATTTTTGGACGAGGCGACATTTCTCAAATCATGATCTCGGAAATTGTGTCTATTTCATTCAAACGCTCAATGACGAAGATTTTGTTGGTTTATTCTATTTGGAAGAGAAACCCGATGGAGGGGACCACACGGTGATGGATGTTTGTATCATTTGGTTGAGAAGAAGCGCTTGTGTCGAGGGAATCATCGAAATGCCGATTGATACGGAAATCAGCTTCTTACTCGACAATTCGGATTTTTTGCCATTATCAGAAGAAAATTCAGATCAAAAATCAGCTGTTTCTCTGTAATTTTCCCTCACCGTTACGATTAAAGTTTTTCAAAACGCTTGAGAAATTTTGTGTGTGTGTTTTTTTGTACATAAAAATATGCTTTTCAAAATACAGATTTGCAAATTTACAAACGTGCATTGCAATTGATTGCAAATTTCGGTAGTGCTAGAGTCCTCGAGTTGAATGAGAAGCCCAGTAGATACTAGACTCGGAATCGGATAAGACTTTTAGCGAATCGGATCCGAGTTTATTTATGTCTCTAGTCGTACCCCCGAAACTCGCGCAAGTTCGATGCGCTCTCTAATAGGTGTCATCGGGAAATTTGCATTGATACAGTTTTTAATCAAACTTTTTTTGGTCTCCAAAAAGTAACTAAAAAATACGTGAAAAATTTTATACCAATACTCTTTTTCGAGATGAGATTTTCCTGACTTGGCTCGGTGCTTCAGATTTCTGTTAACTCTTCATGATTCCTATTAGACATGTGCTTCGAGCGGATCAAACTCGCATCGAATCGGATTCTCGTTTGGAACCGGCCAGACGAATCTGATTTTTCGATCTATTGGGTTGGGGAGAATGAGTCGGCGCCGAAAATCAAAAAAAATGTCTAAAACTTCTATTCGACTTCGTCAAATAATATGCGTTTGATATCAGTAGAATGGTTAACTAATTCTCTACAAAATGACATTTAAAAGAAAATTCAAACAGCGCCTCCGCTCAAGAAAAAGCCATTTTTTCACAAAAACTACAAACTGTCATCTAGAAAATATCTTCCTGCAAATTTGGCAACTTAAGTAATTGAATGTGCTCTATCTTTTTATATAAACACCAAAGAAGGTTTATGTGAAAGAAACTGTTCAAATGATGAGTCGGACTCTTTGCCATTTTAACCAGCTGCGTTTGGAAGTTCATAAACTCCACGAAAGAAAAGCTTTGTGGAATCTCTCAAAAGTGATTTTGTAGAGAAATAGTGGATCCTTTTGATGAAACCAAACGTATGTTTAAAGAAGGCTTTATTTGTGCAAAAAGTCCCTTTAAAGTCTGGCGCCGACTCATTCTCCCCAACCCAATAATTCGATCAGCTTTGAATGACCCGACCATCCAATCATTCTGCGAGACACTTGGAAAACAAAACCCAGGCTTTTAGTAAAGCATTCAATCAACATCTAGCTTTCCTCGGTTTTAGTCTGTTTGCAGTTTATCCTATACTAGAATCACTGGAAACTGGAAATTGGAACAATTTGGTCGCCTGAACTCGATTTACTTTTAAATCAATGCTTTTAAGCATTCAACAGAAAACCTGCAAAAAAACAGCGCATATTTTCGATCGGCTCTCATGCAAACATTCTCATTCAACACCTGATCACTCTGGAATGAGCATTCGAACGTAAAGCTCACATCGATTAATAGAAACAATAAAATGAAGCAATATCTCATTTTGGCTTTAAGTGAATGAATGAATGAATGATTTTTAAGTTCTAATTTCTCTTTTCTTCCATTCATTCATTCATTGCTGAATTCTTTCATTTATCAGAGATTATCGGCCAGAGTAGATTTATAAGAAAAATGATGTAGAAATCAATGTTTTCTTTGCTTAGTTGTGTCACACTTTTTTTTTCAACTACAATTTTTTCAAATCAAATTCAAAACGATAACAGTAAATCTTACATCTTTTACATTTTCATTGCGGACTTTTATAGGAGAGCTCCATTGTGTCCAAATCGACGATATCCGATTCGTGGACAGCCGCCTTTTCCGATACCCATCCCACCTTCACATAGAAAAACAAAAGCCAAATCAATAATGCCTGGAGCACGAGAAACGTGAGGAATGAGCATCTAAAGGTATTCATTTTTCAATTTACACTTTTTTTTTGTTTGATCGACGAATTCTGAACCGGGCACAATCGAAAGGCCTAAATGCATAATTGATCGTAGCAGTGAAATCGAAAATGATAAACTGGGCTTACAATTTGGAGAACACTAACAAAATCTGTAAAGAGTGTGCACAAAGTTTATGTTGATATGATAATTTTAATGATTTCTGCTTATGTGAAAGTCAATCTCTTTTATGAAAAGTGTGCGGTGGGCGATTCGCAAAAAGACGCTATCTTTTTGATTTTTTTGTTGATAGTAGGCCTTTCGATTGTCGTTCTCGATGGAGCTAAGTCGATCAAAAAAAGAAATTGAAAAGATTTCATTGTTAAGACAAACATCTTGATGAGACGTCTTGGCGTCGATTTTTTCGACACTTTCTTTTGATAGTATAGGAAGAGTCGATTCAAACAGCCGGGCAATTGATCATTTTTCTTCACCAAACAAAGGAGGTACTCAAAAATGAGTCCATTGATGACAGCAATGATGCACAAAAATATGCAACACATCACGAAACCGCCTGGAATTTGTATATTTTTTAAATTACTGGTCTGGCCCGGTACGCTTCGATCCGATAATCGATCATCAGACCGATTCAATAGAAACGATTGGATATAGTCAAGGCCTCCATTTTTGGTATTTTTTGTGTTATTTCACTTTCACTAACTTTTCTTTAAAAACTTTCTAACCAAAAAGTAACAGTAACTAAAATTTGACTTTACCACGGATATTTATGGTTTTCAGCTTCGAGCCAAACTGATATTTTAGTTACTATTATTATTATTGAATGATTTGTCTATTCTTATGTAAATGTGATCTCCCTGTGCTTTGCCTCTCATCACCGATAAAGGGATTGCCGTCCTTAGGATCCTTGGGATTGCCTGGGAGGACAAGTGAGGCTCTCACCTAGAGTCCCCCCCCTTCCCCTTTCACTCATTTGCAATCTATTCGTCTTATCGTACTACTGTAAATAAAGATATAAATCCTCCGGGTCTATGCAACTGCAGTTCAGGTCGGCCATTTCACAGGGATTCCCCTCTAATACGTTGGAGGAGTTGAGTCGGGTTGTCGGGGTGTTAGTGATGGCAGGATATCAAAAAGGGGGTCCACTCTCTTTAACTTAACCCAAATTCTAGTCCATATCCGTTTACTGCTAGGAACGAACATGGTATACTTTCTTAAATTGATTTGATTTGATTATCTGATCAGATCTATCTGCCTCCATTGAATCGTCCAGATTTCATCCGAAACACCGAATAATTGGACGCGATCTGATCCGATCCAATCCAACAAAAAGCTTCGATATCATGCCTGGTTATCGGACATTTGATCCCGCTCCTTTTCCTATTAGCAATCTAACTTTGAGCTCAAATTTCTTGGTGTTCGGCTGTTCAATTTATAAATTATTGGTATTATTGGATGTGCCAAGTCTTTCTCTGTCGATTGGTACAAAAACTATTTCGATTAGACAGCCTAACACCAAGAGATTTGAGCTCAAAATTTGATTGTCAATGGCAAAGGGGACGCATATCAAATGTCCTACAATCACCATGCCTACTGTGTCATCATCGTCACTTACCAATCAGTGGGACTTCCTGTGTATGAGGGATATGGTCGGCGACAACAGACAAAATGATCACCAATGCGAGCATGGCGGCAAGACCGATGCTAATCTGCAAACTAGTCAATCGTTTGCATGAAATATTCTCAGTTTTTTCTTTTTAGATTTGGTTTTCTGGATACATTCCAATGCCAGGGTTAGATCCAATAAAAAATATTGTAGGAAAGTACTATGCTAACAATAAGTATGCAAAGTTCGAATGGAAAATAGTAAAAAATGCAGCTCAAATTTTGCAGCGGAGAAAAAATGTTTTTAGAATTCTGTCCCTGTTTTCAGGGACTCTGGTCGAAATTTGATTGATTTGGATTCTAACCGATCAGAGCTTCGTTTTACACTCACTGTGTCCGAGCTGTGATCCCCGGGATATGGGAACAAAATGCCGGTGATTGTCAAAATCGTAATCAGAACCGAGGGAAAGACGATCACAAAAGCATAGTAAAAGCCTCTTCTTGTAAAGGCGATCGAGAAAGAGACCTGAAAATTTGATTCCGCTACATCTGAAAATCCAAATTCCAAGTACAGTAACGGAAATTGGGCATAACTTTGCTTGAACTTAGCTGATTTGGCTGATTTTGCAGTCATTAAATAGGAAATTGTATGCCCCATCAAATAGCATTTAAGGTCAACGAAATCAGCCAGCAAGGTGCTAAAGTTTCGTGTCTGAACGTTTGCAGATCAAAAGTCGAAAATTCTGCATTCATGACCTCAAGTTCATTCAAATAAGGTAAGTTCATGCAAAGTTTTGGTCAATTTCCGTTACAGTACTATGGGCGTACGGGTAAAAGGATGTGCGGTTATCCGAGAATTTTCTCTATTTAATTGATGCAACAAGAATTTGCATTTCAGCACTTACTGCCGGCTGTTGATCGATCGGATCGGAATTATCGCTTTTCTTTGTGAACACATACTCGCATTTGATTTCGAACTCGCTATTGCCCTGAAATTTGCATTTTGTAGCAAATAGTTTTTAGAAATCTAACGCTATTTCTCTACTTTCCACTTTATTTTTCCTCTCTTGAGAGACAAAATACAGAATGCGTTAAAAGTTCCGGGAAAAAGTTCTAATGCTTTTTTTAGGCGTTTTCTTTTTCCTAATCTACTGACCAGATAACTTTGTTTTTTTAGAGTCATTATTTTGTTTTTGCGTTTTATTTTAACACTTTCTTTCTTAACATAACTATTTAGATGGTTGACGCGAGAAATCTTCGACCATTGAGCGTCTATCGAAGTCCGGAGTAAGACCGTTAGCAATCGCCGAACAACTCGCCATTCCAAAGAGCATCGTTTACGATTTCCTGACATACCACACGACATCCAAATTTGACTTCTCTGCGACGTGCCCTTGAGAAAGCCTGAGTTGAACTCGATCCCGAAAGTGCCGCAGTGGAAGCATTCCCCAAGAATCAAGGCCTTTATCAAAGAAAAAGGAGGTATATTTGAAATTTGAATGTTGTTTGAATTTGTTGAAAATAAATTATATAATTTTGATCGACTGAATTCAATTTTACGCTCTACCCGGGTTCAAAATATCGATTTCGGGAACTTTTTACGCACCCTGTACTTTTATGCGCCTGTTCGATAATCTCTACCATTGAATAACTTTTGAGAAAAGTGCGCAAAAACCGTTTTGCACTGGGTTTTTGTGGCAGAATGGTTCAGGGTGCCGGGAAATGATCCGAAGTCTGAGTTCGACCCCTTCCGCAGCAATTTTTTTGATTTTGCTATGGCTAGCCGACTAGTTATCTCAATATAGCAACTTTTGCCGATTTTCCTGCTCAAATTTAAGATTAAGGCTGATTTTACATATCACGCTAAGAAAATCGGCGTTTTTTCTCGATTCTATGAAAAAATTTCAAACTCTCATGGAAAATGCAATTTCAAATCCAATTACAAGTACGGATCCACGAATTTTCCAGTTTATTTCCTTCAATCTTCAGAAAACCTTTTATAAACCCACAGAGACATTGCTGTCGTTTCGTTTGACCCCTTGAAAGCGCATGACCGATTGATTGACATTGCTGTACAGCTCAAGTCCACACACCTCGATATCGAATGGAAACCTGGATATATGTTTTGCTGTTTGCGATTGAATAAATTCATTTCCACAATTGATATGCGCAGAACTCACATGCTGATATTGTTCCCACATCGCACTTTCGCAAATTGACTCTCGAAGATGACCACCCGGCCGCTCGGCTCAATCGACGCATAGTCCCCGCGTTTACCCGCCAATACTTTGTTTTCAAGGCTTAAATTGTTTCGTTTTCCAGGGTGTGATGGTTCGATGAGCTTTGTAAGAGGTTTATGCTTTTTTTGGAAATTTCACTCTTGTTAAAAGGGGTAAAAAATATATAAATATATTAAAATAATCTTAAGCATCTCAATATCGATCCTCTTAATCCCTAAAAGGTTTCATGAAATCACTCCAATTCTGTCATAAAACTCAATTAGTCATACCAGTTACTGTCAAAATTTGCGCTAATTTTATACAGGGTGTCCGGAAAAAAAGTGATCATCGGTTTGAATCTGGAAAAATTTTCTCGTTGATTTTCCAAGGCTCATCGTAGTGTCAGAATTGGTTTTGCCTCAGGCGCCACTCAACAAGATGGAGTTGATTTTTTTTTTGATGATTTTGTGAATAGAGGCCCATGCATTGGCTGGGGAGCTCAAAAATCCACGTAGAGGTACACAGGAAAAACACACTTTTAAATTCCTCTATTTCACCACAAATCTTTCTACTTTTTCTTTCTATAAATTTGTTTTGATTTTAGGAAAATAAGAGATTTGAAAATAAGAGACCCCAAAAATTCGATTCGGAGAAAGCAGCAGCAAGAGGGTTTTCTCATTCAAAAATTAACCATATTTTTAAGATTTTTGAAACAGCCAATCCAACGAAATCGTGACTAGAACATTAAAAGAACCTTACGTTTGATACAAGTTGTACGGGGGAGTCCAGATTTCACCAATCGGCAGGAAAAGCATCGAGTCGTTGTTGTACGCGTCAGGATCGTATTGAAGCCGTTTGTCTATCCATTCCTGAATCTCCCTATTTTCCATGCAAATTACTTCCCCCAAACGATGTTACTTAGCTTTCGTAAAGATGCGAACCGATAGGCTCAAAATCGGATCGGACTTTTGTGAGGAGCTGATCCGACTGATCGCCTTTTGATTGGAGATTTAAAACATTATTTGTGGGATCGATCGATCCAACGCTCGATCTTTCGGATCGATTTGACGGATCCGAAAGTCGGATTTGTCTAATATTTAGGCAATAGATTTACAAGCTTTTCTGCACTCACCATGCAAACCTCGAACAAGAAAGTCGCCGTTTGCTCTTGAGGGTACATGGCGTCGAGAAAGATGAATGGTAGAGATGTGTTGACAAAGACCGTCTCATTGTCACTAATAATTTTCCATTAGACATGGCTTCGGACTTGGATTTGATCGGATTGGATACGTCTGATTGGCTGGGTCTCTTGGATCGGATCGAATCCATCCGATAGATCGAACCATCGGATCGGATTAGATCGGATTGGATCGGATTGGATCCATCCGATTGATCAATTTACCGGATCGGATTGGATCCATCCGATCCGATAGCCATGTCTAGCCCACATCAGATATCTCAGATTGATTCATCCCTGATACAAGCTTCGATAGATTTCGGCTTAGAAACTCTTCTTTTACTTACGCAATTTGATTATGCTCATTTGAAAGATATATTCGAGTGTTTAAATAGGCAAAATGTAGGCTGATCCGACCGGATAAACGGATTCGATTCAATCCGTTTTCTTGTTAATTTCTTTCTAATCTACAGCTCTAATCGTGGTTATGCATCAAAATTCAGATTTTAGATAAGCTCTTTGCCGAATCGTATTCGGAACAGATCCAATAAATCGACTCCCATTAAAATCTCGAATGGAATCAGATCTTGGCCAAATGCCGTCAGTGTTTTTGAGAGAAATAAGACTAAAGAACATGAGAAACATGGCGGTTAGGAGGCTCGAATCCAATATTATTATCATGTAGGCTGATCAGCGGATCCGATTCGACTATTAATACTAATATTATCAGCCGATCCGATTCGACTCACATATAATAAGGAATCACTCGTTTATCATAATTTTCCAATAAGGCCGTCGGGAAGAGTGAATCGCCTGAAAGAAGATTGCATAGAAATTTTAATATAAAAATATTTTTACCTAATCGAAAGAATAAGCAAAAAAGAAACGGGAAAAGCATCGAAAGCGATTGTCGGATTGTGATTTTTCAAATTTGGCTTTCTTTTGAAAACCTTTTGAAAATTAAAAGATTGAAAGAGAAAAGAAAGTGGAGAGAAAAGTGATTAGTGATTAATTGGCTGTCAAATGTGAGCAAATTTGTGGTTGAACAGTTAAAAAAGTGAAAAAATGTGGCCTTGATCGATTGGGTTCAGGGCTGCAGCCAGGAACGAACGTTTTGCTGCCACCCAAACGCACAAACGAATAGCTTTTAACTAGTAAAAAAGTAAAAAGAGCTGTACAGATCTGTGAAAAAGGCAAAAGATTTATTTTTCAGAATTTACCCATATTCATATATGAATTCTCACGCAATTAAACTCAATGCTTTGTACTCTTTGTATTGGATTCAAAACCAAAATCCTACCACGAAAGAGAAATACGCAAATTGCCTGTAAAATGGGCAGAAGTCGTCAATAAAAATGGAAATTATTTGGATTGAATTCATGCTTTTATGTTGAATCAATTTTAGTTCAAAGTTCCGCAGCTTTCAATTCACCAACCCATTACTTGAAGTGGATGAATTTCCGGAGTCAAAAAGTTTGAACCTTTCGCCTTTTTCATCTAGTCCCAGCCCCGAAATTTTAGCATTTCTGTATCGGATATAAAAGTACTTTGAAATTGTTCTTTTTTTGCAGCGTCACCCTGTTGCAATTTGCATACTACTGTTTTTTTTGAACTTGAAAAAGTAGCGGTTTCTTTTCCCAACCTCTTTTTCTCCTCTTCTTTTTATTTCTTTTATTCAACTACAGGTACTTTTAAGCAAATAATCCACCAACCCAATATTTGCTTTATTAAACGTATACTTTCTTTAACCAATTTTGAACAAAAGAAACATTTTTTTTCTTCTTTGTTTTTTGCAAGCTTGAACAAATGCTTCGCCAATCATTTTTCCAAACTTTTCTCTCTCTTTTTTCAATTCCTTGTCAGTCTCTTTTCAGAGCACCGCAAAATTTTCGTTCTTAAACAAAAGAAACGAAAAGGAACGTAGAAATTGAAAATTTTTAGTGATATTTGTCTTTTTTGTGATCTTAATCAAACAAATACTTTCTTCGATCAATAGCGAAAAATTTTCTCATGCTGGCTCAACGATTAGCAGAGTTTAGCGCATAGCAAAACGTTTACTCATTCAATACTAATGTTTTGTTTTTAGTCGATCTCTTCCTGGAGAAATGGCACCCGATTCTTAACGTGACCGCGTCACTCAACCTTCCCCAAGCCCTCAATGAGAAGATCAGCTTCATTGCAAAGAATGAGTTGGCACCGGCAACACTTCGACTTTAAGCCCAAGCCGAGAGGTCCCGACGCGCTTTTGCTAAGAAAATCGACTGCAATCACAAGGATTCGATGTCACTCATCATGTTTCTGCTGAACAAAGTTGGGAGCGACGGACTGGCCAATCTTTACCTTAACATTGCTGCATTCAAATTCTTCAATGAAGAACCAAACGAACAGCACGGAAGGTTCTTGACGGCAAGCAGCCAAGCAGCCGCTCGCACGACGTCAACTACGCAATTAAGGTCGATCGAAGATCAGCACATCTACAAGATCATCGATTTCGGTACAACGGCTACTAAAGTGGATTTGAGGACAGCTACCATAGTTCTGCTGATGTAAATGTGATTTTGCTGATGCTGATTTGAGGCAAATAATGAAATCAAAGATCTCAGAACTAAGTCATGAAGAAACAGGACAAGAAAAAGTGTTATCTTGAATTATGTACATTTTCTAAATTTTCTTTATTCAATATACGAGCACACAGCTTCCGATTCGCTAACTTTTTTTGCATTTTTTTGATTTTCTTTTTGTCGAACAGCTGTGTTGAATTATGGTATAAAGCTCACAAATTGTAGTCAAAACGATGCTTTGTGTCAAAAAATTCAGTTAGAAACAGTTTATTCTCAATTTCACAACGCAATCAAATCGTTTGTCGCCTCTTCTTGAGAGCCTCGAAGCTAAGCGCAGCACTCTTGCCAGTGATCATCTCCAGTGTGTCCCTTCGATCGTCGATTCTCCGGAAACACCAAATGTTGATTATCCTGAAAATTCTTCAGCTTTAGCTTGATTTGCTTGACAAGTTACTACAAAATAGAAAAACGAATCAATTGAATAACTTGAAAATCTCTACAAATCTCAAGCCATTCCGTTGACTTTGTTTCTCTATCTTGCACCAATTTGATCGATAAACAAGTCTTGATAATAAGATAGATAGATAATAAGAGATAAACAAGATCGATAAACAAGTCTTCACCCCATGATAATGTAGAAAAAGAAATATCGATTAAGCTCAAGAAATGATTCAAAGACGCTCAAAGTGTTCGATCCAAATGAGCTCTTAACGAGGATTCCAATGCTTGGGAAGACAATTTTTGTGATTAGCATCAAGAAAGAGTTGGTGAGCATCTAAGAGAAATTAGTTTAATGTTGAAAACTCAGAAAAACAGTCATTGACATTTTGATTTACCTGTAGCATCAATAACGACTCAGCATAAGATACTTTGTTGTGAACTTTTAACTGAAATTAGATTGACATCACTGCAAAGAAGTCAACGGGTTATGAATTTGTAAATTAATAACACTGGAGACTGGAGAAAATGCTTGATTAGAAGAAACAATGAAGCTCTAATCACATCAATAATTTCAATAAGCTAATCTTAGCAGTGCTCAACTTTTTACAATCTTTTTAGAGATCCTTGTTAATGAACGAATTTTTAAGGATCTCTTTGATAAGCCACTAAGGAGTTTAACTGTAGTAGAGTAAATTTGTGTAGAGAAAATCGTAGAGTAACTGTAGCTAATAGTGAGCTGTAGCTAGTCACGAATAATGTTACCTCTTTAACTTTCCGTCTTGTCACAACATCGAAAGCAATCATAAGAAACATTGGGATAGCGTGAATCCAATCAAAGAGCTCGTTGAGAATGAGTGATCCAGGAAACAGCAAATAGATTTCAGCGGCAATGACACAGAGAAATGAGGGAAGGATTGCTTGGAGGAGGGGCCATTTCAGAGAGTAGCTAGATTAGAGTTTAGAGATTAAAGATTCTTTTTAAACTTTAAAAGAACGGAATTTAGATTTGGCTTGAAACTTTCTGTTCCACTCACCTAGAGTAAAATCCATCAAAAAAGACCGCTAAAAATCGATTCGTTGAGATGAAAAGTTGACAGATTTGTGTAATCTCAAATAGACAATAATGAGTAGAAATAAATCGATAAACATTCTCATAAAAAGCTTTCGTTTCAACAGTACAATCGACATTTTTCATCGTTTTCGTCTCCGAAATGTGACAGTGATAATAGAAGGAATAGATGAGAGAGAAGAGGAATTTGTGGATGTTCTCCGTGGCGATCAGTAGCCTGAAATTTGCAAAAATTTACATGAAAAGTTGTAATCAATAGAGAAAATGAGGCTTTTCAAAATCTCTCACCGAATTGATAGCATCAACTCATCGTTTATAAAAACAAAGTAAACGACAAGTGGTGAGATGAAGAGATTGACAATGTTTTGCTAAAGGTTATTCAATTTTTTTTAAAAACTCCAGTCAAACCTTGTTAGTAACCAAAGTTTTTAGTCTCAAAAAGTAAAAATACATTTATGGACCTCCTACATATTTGTCACCTAAACTCGATTGTGAATGAATGTTTTAAAGGTCACTAACGAGGTCTATATATCATTGCTGTTCAATTCTTTCGTCAATGATGATTTATTAGCACTAATTTATTAGCAAATAATTGATCGTTATGGTTTCTTTGTTTCTTTGTTTTCTCTTATTTGTTATGGTTTTTTAAATTGTTTCCAGTTGACGAGTTGTTGAACTGGTCATTTCGAATCGACTTTAGAAAACGATTTCCACTTTCTAAAAACTTGATCACTGTTCTTTGAGCAAACAGAAATCGTTCTTAAAGTACTTTTGGATAATCTTTGACGATTTGAAATTAATTACAGTCAAGCATGGAAAGATTAATTACAGTTAATTACAGTCTTAGGCTGGACCTGGTCTGATCCGAAGGGTTCGGGCTGGACCTGGTCCGATTCGGAGGGTTCGGGTTGGACCTGGTCTGATCCGGAGGGTTCGGGTTGGACCTGGTCTGATCCGGAGGGTTCGGGTTGGACCTGGTCAGCCCGAACCTGGAATGAGCTTGGTAAATCGCAAAGAGTCTGGACTTGGACCGGTCCGGGCTGGCTTTTTTTAAAGAAGCCTTCGGTGCAGGTGTAAAAAGCTTGGCCCGACGGATCTGGACCGGATCAGAGCCGGTCCAGGCCATGCTTGACTACAATAACCTTTTTGGTTAAGCTATTGATACTGTCGACAAAGCTGAAATGATTTTGCGATTTTTTAGCTTCTAGAGGCTTCTTCGAGACAAACCATGTAACTTGCAAGTAACAGCAAGGCTTCCAATGTTTCCATCAAATTCACATCAATGTCCGCTTTTTCCGTTTCGTTAGACCATTTCAATGAGTTTTCAGCTAACTGAAGCCCCACATAGATCCCTAGATTTCTGCTTGAAAAGCTTGTTTTGCTCAACAAACCCTCAAGCACTAAAACCACTAGCAAAACAATGAAAATCCCCGAAAATCGATAGAATATTTTCATTGTTGACAAAGTTCAACAAAAGCGAATTTTATGCTTACAATGATTTTGAAGAGCTGACACAGCTTTGAACTCAAATCACTAAAACTCTCACGAGTACAATTTTTCTTCTTTTCGCTAAATTTGGGCTTTTTTTCTAGGAGAAAGTGCTCTTCACTGGCCCCCGAGTTGCAAAAAATTGTTTTTTTAGAAAAGTCGGTAAGCTCTTTACAGAACCAAAGATTCACTTTACATATTCTCCAGGTGTCGACGGTGATTCTTTACTTTTTCGTGCCACTAATTTGGTATTTCTATGTTGGTTTTGTGAATGGATTTTGGTTGACAAGTCGGTTGTTCTGTTCGTATTTGGCTTAGGATTTGTCGATCGAACATAAAATAGTAACGGAAAATAACTTTGCCTGGAGTTGTCGGATTCGGCTGATTTTGATGTGATTCGATTAGAAATTTGTATTGAATGACTCAAATCAGCCGAATCGCAAAAGTCCAGGCAAAATTATGGTCAATTACCATCACTACAGGGTTGTCCAGGATTACGGGGACTAGGGGTACCTTTGATATTGCATATTTTTTTTCCTTATAATTTCTATATTCTTTTTGTCTTTCTTTTGGTTTATTTTATTTATTTAACTCTTTACTTACTAGATTTCCTCAAAAAAAATGTCTCCTTTTCGCATGGCCAAGAAGTCAGTGTACCGAGATGTGATCATCGACCTACACAAGCGTGGCGTTCTGCATGGAGTGTGTTGGAAACACATGCATGCTCGAAACCCCATCTAACAGTCGATTCTTTGAGAAAACCCCTTCAGAAAGCTTGGGACGAGCTGGGCACGCCCGCACGCCTTCTCGCCACCGACGCATTCCCAAAACGCCTCCAGGTGTGTGTTGCCGCCAAGGGAGAGCTTTTTGAAAAAAAAAAGTAAATTTTTATGTTAAATTATTTTATTAAGATAAATTTTTGCTGTTTTGATGTAAGGTGATTTTTAAATCCTGAAGTTCTTTAGTCCCCGTAATTCTGGACAACCCTGTATACTATGGACGTTCGGTAAATTTCGCTTTACGCTTTACTTTTCGTTCCATTACTGGACTATAGACTGTAATAAAGCCCGATTGCGTTAAGAGTACTCAAAATATTGGACAACGTTTCTGAGTTTTCACGGCACAGCCTCAACAACCATTCTTCTATCAATTTACGATAGCTATCGTCAATGTTTACTTCATTTCATCAAAAGATCAGTGAAAATTCAAACGAAAAAGGTTTTTCTTTTTTTTTTGTGACGAGACTTTTATCCCATTGATAATGATTTGTCACTTTTTAGCATCCAACAATGCTGATCCAATCGATTGGCAGTTGACACTTCGGTGTTTTGTTTGAAAAATGCATTTTATTGCCATAAATGTTTGCTTGTTATTTGTTTCTCTATTACTATGACTCATTTTATGATTCTAAATTGAAACTTCGATCAAATGAAAAGTCCTGTAGACCAGAGTTCTTGCAAAAAAACACCCCAAGAACACTTGTCCGGCAAAACTCAAAAACTAAAAGTAAGAAAAACGCTTGCTGACAAGAGCCTTTCAGCTTTGTAATTCCCTTTAATGGTTAATTTTCTTATTGGTTTGCTTGCTTGCTTACTTCTTCTTCTTCTTCTTTAGTGGCAAATTGAAGGTGACGACCGCTGAAACAAAAGAAAAAAAAATTGAGTTTGCTTGGACTTGTTGCTGACTTTATGTCTGACGTTCTTGATCCAAACGATCATTGTACTTTTCCGCGTTCTTGATCCAAACGATCATTGTACAGCAACGGAAATTGACCATAACCTTGCCGGGACTTTGCCAATTTGGCTGATTTTGATATCATTTGATGGAGAATTTGATTTCCTATCGAATGACCATAAAGTCAGCAACAAGTCCAAGCAAACTCATGAGCAACTTTCGTTACCGCACTATCGGAGTTCGTGAACAGATGTAACAGAGAGCTGAGTTGAATAGAGTTGAACAGAATGGAACAGAGAGATTCCAAATGATTGTCTCGACTCAGCTTGATTCTCCGAAATCGAAATAAAAATATTTTCATGTTTTTCAATATTATTTTTACTGTAGTTTGCATAAAACAACATTTCAAAATAAAATTTTAAATTCTAAACTCGGAATTCGTTGGTTTACCATGTTTTGATCGTCCCTAAAACACCACTAAAGTGCAATAAACAGCGTATATCCACATTTTGCTATCAGAAAAACATTGAGTTCTTTTTATGACAGTTCTTTTTGTGATTTTTCTCAATCTTTTCAGAATTGATGGCTTTTTCTGCTTTTGATCTATAGTTAGACGAATCCTAGAACAATCTCACACTCTAAGCTGTAGATGCTGTTAGAAAAAGTGACAATGATTTGCCTAATGCCCTGAAAGATCTTCCTGCACGTTTTGATCGATTCTTCAAAACAAGAATCCTTTGTGATTCAAATCAAATAGGATTTCGTTTAACGAAAGTTGAGAAATCGTTTACTTGCAATCCGTTTTCCTAAGATTCAATTCGATTCGCTTTTACTTTCCTTTTTGAATTTTGTCCATCTAAAAGACTAATTTTAAGATTATTTCATCAAAAATACATGTTTTCTCTTTTTCACTTAATTCATTTAATGATCAATTCTTTAGAGGAATTCTTTGTGATTTCAATCAAATACGATTTGGTTTAAAAAAAAAAGTAGTGAAAACGTTTACTTACGATCCGTAATTCTTCAGCTGAACTCTAAATTCGTTTTCCATTTTTTTTAATTTCCATTTAATGTGCTTTTTTAGTCAATTCTTTCGATATTTGAGATCTTCCATTTCTAAACAAAATTATTTGAAAAGTATCAAATCAAGGAAAGTAAAAAACGTATAATAATGCACCAGAAATTCAGTAATATTCAATTAACAACAAGCGAGGGTAGATTAAACGCAAAGATTAAAAGATTTTATCAAAAAAGGGCGAGGGCCATTATTTAGTTGCCAACCTAATAACAGAGACCAGTCTTCGCGAAGTACGTCCATCCAGTGGGACAAGTGTGAACTAAAAGCAAACTCCTGTCGTCTTTTGACGTCAATTACCGTAATCGATCGAGCAAACGGATGTACGGCTCGAATTACAATCGGCGCCCTTCCACTTCCCGGTTTGTCCATCAATGATTGCACACGACCATCCAGTCAACATCACCGGTTCTCCGGGCGCCCAATTCTGGTATTTCAGGGTGGATCCATCCGCGTAAACCCAAGTGAAATTTTGCGTTTGTTCCACTCCGATATATGGAGAAGAATCCCCAATTTCTGAACGTTTTTTTTAGCTTTTCTTTGACGCAATTACTTACGATTAGACATTACTTCTGTAAAATGGCGAACATTTGAAATGCGAAATAACATAGCTGATCTCGGTGCTAAACAAAAATCACTGATCGGGCTCATTCCAAACTCGAAAAATATTGCGTGAATCAAGTTCACCATTAATTACTCTTAAATCGGAAAAGCACCTGTTCGAAGTGAAAAGGTCAGCATTTCCCTGACATCGATTTTCGATTTTCTTCACTAAAATTCTTTTCAATTGAAAGTGGCTTTCAAAAATCAAATTATTTGTATAAGTTTATATTTTCTACTTCTAGAAACTGCCATTCTCAAAAGTTTCCGTATGATTTCAGCATCCAAGTCTAGATACTGAAACCATACGGAATATTGAATAAAGTCTTACATGAAATCTTACCGACTCTCGTCAACGGATTTCTTTCCAATGGCACCTCCCACATATCGTCGGGAAATTGTCGGGAAATTAAAGGAGAAATCCTCAAATTTAATTGCTCAGATTTTGAATCAGTTATAACGATACTTTCCAAGTGTCCCGTTAAGACTTGAGGCATGAAACTAAAATCGTTTTGGATCATCTTATAACTTCAAGGATAAAAGTTAAGCCAAAAAAACTCCCAAATTTTCAGCTGTTAAGTCCAAAGAAACAGGAGAGTGTTCAGTGCAAATTCGCTCTTCCGATCTTCACCGCGTTTTATTGAGAATCGTCTATCGAGAGTTTTCCCCTGAACTTCTCGCGCACATGGTCCACTACAATTGAGTCGACATTGTGTTCAACGGCTCTTTGATGCGACTATTCATTTGTTGAAAGATTGGGTGAAGTGATCGTGAAACCATTTTGGGAACGAAGTGCTCAGTGATCAAACGGTGAAAAATTATTGTGTAAAATGACTGCTTAAATTTTTTAGCTTTTGCAGTTTTGTGCTTATTTGTTTAAATTCGTTTTATGCACAGACTAGTAACTACCTAAATTTGTTGATAAAGTTATGGCTCATTTCTTTGGTGTGCGATATGTTGTTTCAACAAAAGTGTAAAAATTTTGTAAAAGAAATGCATTCACATTATAAGAGCATTCACATTAAAACAGCATTTACATTAAATTTGGATCCTATTCAATTATACCCCCCTCCAAAAGCTGTCGTGCATCAATGTAAATAAAGCCCCGCAAAATTTGCTTGCTTTAACTTGGTCTTCAATTCGAATAACCACATTTTCATACAAACTTCGATGCGCATTTCCAACGTTTTAAGTTTTAACAAGCTTTATGAGAGTTTTGGGCATTTTCCACAAACCCCCAGTTGATTTATTTTCATACGATAATTTAATGGTGAGTTATAATTTGATTGTTAGTTGTGCTATAAAGTGTCAAACAATTTGCATAAAAAGTTTATTAATAAAAAATCCCGGTCCCAAAAAATACCCGTATCATACAATTTTTTTCCAATTCATGGGTCTTCATTCGGGGTTGTATCCGTTATTTCGAAGCTGGACCACGAGATCGATGATTATTTCGGGGTCGGTAGTAGAAATGACCAAATTGACGGTTCCAACGTCATGTGGTTGACCATGCGAACACTAAATGACAAGAGTTAGAAATTTTAATTAGGTTTCAGTGCGATTGGTATTTCACAACAAAAATTTCACTAGCGTTTTGTTTATAAATAAATCTTTACCATCAAGCGAAGATTACGAACTGTCAAAACGCGTCGGTTTCTCACAGCGTTCGTTTGGTTGTAGGAAGGATTGCCTCGGCGATGCTGTTGCAGGGTGAAAGTTTCATTCTCAAAATCGATTACGATTTCATCTCCGTTGACGGTCCAAGTGAACAGTTGTTGCTGAACGTCTTCGATTTCGAAACGAAGTTGAGCAGCCATACTTCTAAAATCTTCAAGTTAAATTATTAATTTGAACACTTTTTTGCCTATCTTTATTCAATTTGTTTTCTGAATAGTTACAGCACGAATATCATTATAATTTTTCCCAAATAAAAGTTGTTGATAGTTTAGTTTACAATCTTATGAAACCAATTTAGGTATTTTCGAAACGAATTTGCGCAGATCTTCCTGTTTTTTCTGATAAAACCTCTAAAATCAGAGCCTTTTCTAATCGCTCTTTCTAATAGTCAGCTTTATATAATTAGTACACCTTTACATTGCTAGCAAGTGTGGGTTATTTGATCTACTAATCATTGAAAACCAAAAATTGAAAAAAGTTAGTCATACCCAAATTGTTAAATTTAATACAGAAAGTACAAAAAATTAAAAACTAACCGATTTGCGCGACGAAAAGTAAACAATGAAACTTTCACTTTCTTTTGAGATTTCTAATTTCTGAAATGAAATGCAAATTTGGTCAACTTTCTGTAGCTAATTTAATTTGATAGAGATGTTTGTGTTTCAACTTACCACCAATCTTTTTTTAAATATATATGGCGAGTAGACTAAAAAACAAGAAAACTAGCTCCAAAAAAATAACTTAGTAATAAAGATGAGCCAAACTCACTTTATTATGAGTACGGTGTAATAAGGTTAAAAAAACGAACGGTTACCACTCACGCGCATGTCGCTACTTTTTGGACCCACTTTTTTTCGTCATCAAATGAATCATTTTTCGTTTCAAACAATTCCTCATCACTTTCTGAAGAGCTCGAACGTATGGTTCGAGTTTCATTTGACTTTGATAGTTTTATCTAAAATCGTTACATATTTCGGAGAAATACCGATTTCCTGATAACGGTTAAGTTTGATTTGAGTTCAGACTTATTCCCGAGAAAATTGTCGATGCTTACAATTAGATGGCCGAATCTTGATGGCCTAGTCCCATCTGTTCTAGCCTGAGCAGATTAAAACTTTCAGAAAACTTAGCAGGCAATGCTCAATTTTCTCTTTTTGTAAAGTCTATTTCCGCTGTACTGAAACTTTTGGGGATATGATATATTTGCGTCGTGTCATTTGCGCAACGTTTAGCTATATAACTTTTTCTAGAAATCTAGCCAGAATGGATTTTGTTCTGCAGACTTTGTTGTAACATCGTTAAGGTTAATTAAACGAAAGAAAAAAGATCATCAAAGAGAGGCAGTATGAGTTTTTTTGATCTTGCTACTAGAGCTCGGAATCGTCGTGTAAAATTTGTTTGAATAAAGAAAAATGAAGGAAAAAAGACCCTTTAAAAAATAGAGGACGGAGACTTGACCGACTGTCTTTGTGTGGTAGAGCGAAATCATAGTATACATTAATATAGTATACATTAGAAATCATAGTATTTTTTGAATAAGTATGTATTTATAAGAAGCTAAAAGAATGAAATGCGTTTGATAAAAAAATGTTTATAAATGATTTTTGGATCATTGCTCTAGAGTTCGAGAGAAGTCGTCGATCATTTCTTGCATATGAAGCGGTTGTAGAAGAAATCCTCTCCCCAATTGCTCCAATAAGCACTTTGTAGACATCGCGGGTCGTTGATTATCTCAAACAAAAAAATGTACTTGTTAAATTAAATTTAAAACTATCTTTTGATGTATAACAAGCACTAGGCTGCCTGTTTTTATGTTCTCCGAAGTCAAAGCATGGCAACCAAGAGTGTGCGGATATGATCAGACAGTTTTGGATTATGGAGCTAAAACTTCGGATCAATTGAAGTTTAATGTTAGGTCTCTAACATTATAACGGAAAAAATAGCTGACGGTGAGAAATCATTTAATCAAAATATGCAAGTCATTCGACTTGTAATTTCGACTCTTTATTTGTATGGTTGAAAGTTTGATACGCAATCTAAAAATTCTCGAGTCCGGGCCAGATAATTAATTTATCCGAAGATTTTCGTTTAATCCGAAACCAGATACCAATTGGCAACCTACAAAATTCAAAGGCTTAACAGAGTTCAAGAGATAGGTTCAAGAGATAGGCAAACTACTTTGATTGTTGAGCGTTATCGGAATTCAAATTTATCGAGTACCCCATACGTATTCGTGCCAGCTGTGCAATTTTTCGTTGCGTCGAAATTGAAGGATGTATCATCTGTCCATGCTTTGTAGAAACCGGCACAAATTAAACCGATAACAGCTTGATCCTTGGCGCAATCAATGGTTGCAACAATCGTGCTGTCAGTTGCAATTTCCTCTAAACGTTTTGGTGCTATAGCTAGGGTTGTTTCAAAAGTCAAGTGCCATAGGGTTAAGCCAAAGCCTTGGCCCGGGTTTTTTTTGGGTGGACCAAGGAAAATATCAAGAAAAAGGTCCCACTGCCAGTAGTTTCCGTCAATTGGTTTTGATTTGATGAACACAAATTTACACGTTTGACAAAAGTGGGCCAAGATCCAGGCCAAGACTAAGCCAAAGCCAGGCCTTAATTTAAAACTAACTTAAGGGAAACTTCAATTTACAATTTCTGATCTAAACTGTAAAACTAAGCCCATCAAATTCGTCAAACTCAACAAACTTTAGTAGTTGCTCTAATCTCAACCGTTAACATAGAATCAATTCTATTGTGTCGACTTATTCGCAATTCTCGGAAAAAGTCACCCTTGAGAAAGTCGAATTCGTCTTGACTGTGAATAGAAACAACAGTGGCATTGTAATATTGACACGTTTCCTCTGCTCCATAAATTGTGGACGACACCATTCTGTCTTCCAGAGCCGCATCCTAAATTTGCTTGAAATAAAAAAAAAGAAAAACTTACGTAAAAGTAATAACATTTCCCGTTGAATGGCACCCAACCAGCGTGGCAAACTGAAATACAAAAAAATTTCTCCACAAAAAAGCTTTACTCGACGGGTTATAGATAGAGTGTGTTCCTCTCAAATAATGATATTCTAAAAAGTACTTTTACTCAAAAAAAAACCAATCAGTTTTCAACCGTTCGGCTTAGTTTTGACTTCATTGATTGAGTCTTGTCATTTCTCATCGATTGACACCAATGAATGGTTGACTGGTTGAAAACTAATTATTTTCAAAAAAGAGTACTTTTTAGAATGTCATTATTCAAGAGGAATACGCTTTATGTAATTATAAGATTTGTCGTAGTTTAATAAGTGAGAGCCAAAAACTTCAGACGACAAACTTGGATGAAAGGCTGTTGTGGTGATCGCCGGGGAAGCGTCGGGTATTGAACAAATAAACGACGAGGTGGTACCACAATCCACGGAAATCCACTGATAACTTTGAGCATTTTGTAGTGTGCAGCCCATATTTGGTAGAGGATGGCCTAAAGTGTCGAGTTTTGAGATATCAAGATATATTAGGTTGGCAACTTAATAATGACGCGTCACTACTAACATGTTTTTGAATTCAAGCGCCGTTTCTTCCCTCTTGCAAAACAAAGAAAGATATCTGCATAAATAACAAGGCGCAAATTTCATCATTCGCTTTGGCAAAAAATGGAGGACAAAAATCCGTATTCGAGCGCATTGTTCTACGATTTAAACAAGGAAAACACCAGCTGAACCTTCGCACGATCATCACTGTTTTTGGGGAGGAAAGTAACACATTCGGCAATGTCAACGATGGTTTCAAAGATTCCAAGGCGGCGATGAAAGCCCGTAGACGAGCCACACCAAGGACACCCCAGAAGTGGTCGACGATGACTTGCTCGCCAATTGAAGATTGCCCAACACCACCGTTCGTGAGTTGGCAGAAATATTGAAGACCCATACGACAATCAAAAACATTACACAAACTGGGAAAAGAACGAGTTGGAAAATGGGTTCCCACGAACGACCCAAAGCAACAAAATGTCGCCCAATTTTGTTACAAAATTGTAAACAAACGACTTTTTCACAGGGTTTTGACTTCTGACGAAACGTGGATCAACTACGAGAACGTTAAGCGCAAAAACAATGGCATCTGCTGGGCAGACCCCTCAAACCACCCCAAACCTGAACCATGGGAAGAAGATAATGCTCTGTGCTGGTGGAACTTCAAGGGATGGTGCATGTGAAGGCTGAAACCTGGCCAAACCGTCGATGCTGATCTTTATTCGAAGCAATTAATGAGAGTTAACGGGTCTTTGAAGAAATTGGGACCAAACCGGAGAGAGTCAGATTTTACACGACAACGCAAAACCCACACTGCAAAGACACATAAGAAAACGGAAACTTGGCTGGAAAGTTTTGCCCCACGCGTCTTATTCACCTGATCTGGTTCCCAAATTACTTTGTTTCGGCGCGAAGCACTTTTAGAGGGAGAAAAGTTCGATGATCTGCCAGGCAAAAAGCAGTGAAGACACTTCGCCTCAAAAACTCCCAAGTTCTTCGAGGAGGAACCGGGATTTGCGCAGAAGAGGGAAGAAGTCATAGATACTAATGGAGAATACCTTTCGAATTGAAAGCTCTTCTTTTGTGTTTTTTTGAAATAAATGATTTGTTACACAAAGTCATTATTAAGTTGCCAACCTATTATATTGCGACAAATAGATTTCTGTACTGTTTTGAGCCTTTTATAGAGCTCAAAGCTGTCCCATCTGGGTCGACCCCCGTTTTATAAAATATTTACATATGAAATATGCATATAAATTTACATATAAAATTTTGCTTTACATCGGGCCGGGTTCAGCAATTATTTCAAATATAGGAACTAAGCCTTTATTTAGTCAGTCGGTTGAATCTGCTCGGTACTGGTTTTGACTGACCGGTCGCTACTACCGGCCAAAAAAGAATATTGATCGACTGGAACGACCGATCGGCTCAATTTTGATAGCATTCGATCAAGCCTTGGTGATGAAAAGACAATAAATAGGTACTCTAAATTTTAGTTCACGGTTTCAACAAGTTTCTAAATGTGGAAAACGGTTAGCTGATTAGCTTTCAACTGATCGGCTCCGTTTTGGTATATCCGGCGAGGAATGATAAATCAATGTGATGGAAACTGAGCCGATTGAGTAAAAGCTGCCCATTTGATTGCGGTAGTTTTCGAGAAAGAGTACTTTTTAAAAGTCAACATTTGAAAAGAACACTCTACTCTGTATAGGGTCTGTATTCTTCCGGCTATTTCTGTACAGGGTCTGTATTTTTCCCCAGCAATCTTTAAGTTGTTCCTAAAGCTGACGATGAGCCGACAAATCCATTCTTTCATTCTCACCTGTCGCCCAATTCTGATATTCTAACATCGTTCCGTCATCATTTGTCCACGTCCCATTTGTCTGTTTAATCACGCCAATATACGATTGACTGTTTGTGGTGAGCGCTGTAATTTACTTTCTTGACAACCAAAATACTCTTCACAAACTTGTTTGTGCCTGTGTGCCAGCCATGACATTCTCAAAAATATCTCGAATCGTGATGATTTGGCCGCCAAAGTTTTTGCAAATTTTTCTTGCCTGGGAGTAAGTTGCTACTGAAAAAAATGGACCATAATCAATATTTTATACAAATTTTAATAAGATGCAAAGACAAAAATATGACGTTTGTAGGATTTTCAAGACAAAAATCTATTAAAAGATCCATTAACAACAAACCAGCATCAACCGGATAGATACACTCTGCACGTTCCAGATACTCCAGTGACCCTTGTGGGCATTTCCCAAGTGTCGTTGAGCAATAAGTGATGAGTTGAAGAAAAACGAATACACGTGCGAAGCTCATCTTATGAAAACTTTTGCTGGGGGTTTTCCTTTTTCAGACTTCGCATCCGACCCATTTTCTAGCTGATAAAGAGTCGTAAACAAAATTTCTCTTGGGATTTCCACAAAAACATTTTCTAGAGGAAAGAATTCTTATGCAAAACTATTCGTACCTCACAGTTGGAGTTGTGGAAAAAATGCTTTCTAAAATATGTGCTCAGACAAAGAAATGTTGAACACTTTATTCATTAATAACTACGTTACTTCGTCTCACACTCGTCAAAAAACTATAGACGCACCCTGTTTTTTGCGAGTTTTGAGCGTGCCATGGCAGCTATTATTTTAGAAAGTGTTTTTTAGTTCGTTTCTTTATCTCAAAAAAATATTAAATACAAAAAAGCATCATTTCAACGAATTAAAGTACAGAGTACGTTTTTAGGACTGTCAAATTATAGACGCACTTTCATTTTACCAAGAAAAAGTTAAAAAATAAAAATAACAACACAAATTAATAAATAAATTAATAAGTAGTTTTTTTCGATAAAGTTCACCAGGTTCCCCAGGTCGAAACGAATAGATGTCCTTGAGAGGAGGCAATGATCTTTTATACATAATATTGTGTAAAAAGAAAAAGAAAATCTCGGGAAAAATGTTGTCATTTGAAATATTGTTTTAAAAAACTGATCAAATTCTTGATAATAAATTTGTTCATGCAACTTTATGTAATTTCCTTATTTCGCCAAACCCTCAAACACGTATCTCATCTTTCTATTTCTCTACTGAGCTCAAAAGAAATCATAAAATTAATCAAAAAAAAGCTTGGTCAGTACAGAGATGCTCCTTCCAACTACCTAATCGAAAAATAGTACTAAACTCGCAACAGTTTGTTTTTGTGCGTGTGCAGATCGGCGCTGAAGTACACTTTCCGAATTTTCGGTCTCATGCAACGAAGAACTTGGATTGGAATTGGAATTCTTGTTGGACTCGTCATTCTCATTGCTCTGACCGTCGGCCTCGTTGTCGGTCTGCGAAAACACAAAAAGAAAGATTCGCCCGACAGCGGTCCCTCTCTCGATGACATCCTCAGCAATGACTCCACTTTTCCGAATGGATCCTATCAAGTGTCGACCGGATCGCTGAAAGCTGGACCCAACAATTTGAAGCCGATCCTTGTCACGTTGCAAGATCTGAAATCACTTGGTTTGATTGTTGACAATTCGTCGCTGGTGGCCGAAACGAATCGGTTAAGTGTGATGTTTGTGCGAATTCCACGAAATGGCACCGCAAGGTAAACGAAAAAAATCCATCTTAAATCTTCTTTAAGTTATAAATTTTTTGTAACTTTTTGAGGCAAAATAGGAAAGTTTAAAGTTTAAAGTTCAAAAGTTTAAAGGGGAAAGAAAAAACAAAGGATAAATGTTCAGAGATTCAAAACGCCGGGAATGTTTCTAATTTTTAACCAAACTGTGTGTCAATATTGATTCTGCTAAATCGAAACAAAATGTTATTTTTAGGCTAAACATACCTTGGCAGGGTTACTTTCACAATATTACCAATCCACTATACCATTTGAGTTTGTCAAACCATTTCAAGTTACTTTCAGAATACAATTCGGTGGTATCGGTGTTCGTTTCGGGTCATCCGACACTTTGAACGTGGTTCCATTGAATCTCTCATCGATCACCAACTCGGGTCTCCGTTACATTGGGTTGCTCCAATCGGATCGAAGCGACGTCTATCAAGTGCAAGTGCGAATGGCCGAACAGATGTGCGCAAACAGTGCCTCGGGATCGTGCTCGATCATCAACTGGAGTCCCTATTTTGTGTTAGGGTAAGCAGGGAGCTTGTATTTTGTAATTTGTAAAAAGCCAACATAAATGAGCAATACGCTCTATAATCTCTATTTTTCACAAAAAAATTTTTTACAGAGAAGCTGTATTTCAAAAATGATTTTTTGGTGTCATCTTCTTGGCACTGAGTGTTTACTAAAATAGGTCATTTTGAAAAGTTAAAACATTAGTTAAAATTTGTCTTAATCGCAAATTTTCCCTGTTTTAAGTACTTGATTTTAGGTTTTGAAAGGGATTCATTACCTATCTATTAATCCATTAAAAACTTGTTTAAAGGCTGGTCACTCAAAAAGTGAGCAAGTCATTTCAGCTGAAAAAACCTCAAGCCTTTACCTCAAGCCCCATTCTGATTTTTTCAAATATAGTCAAGTTTATCAAAAAATTTGGGAAGATTTCATGGCTTGGTTTTTGAGAAATCATTCTGCAAACTTTTTCTGAGAACTTTCTTTCCAGCCTAATATATTATATTTTGGCCTTTTACAGTCCTTCCAAAAAGCGCTTCAAACTTGTCCCTTTTTTTTCAACGACTCTTTGAATTCTTTTTACAGCTAGATAAAACAATTGCAAAAAGCCAAAGCATTTAGTTTTGCTAAAGCTAAGACCCAAATAAAAAAGGTTGCCCGTAGATTTGCTGAAATTCTTCGTCCAAAGCAACTCTTTTTTTTGCAAATGGGCACTATGCCCTACTGCAATGCACTGAAACGTTTCAAGAATAGCTTTTCAAAAATAGTTTTATAGCCTGGAAAAGGAACTCAATCGAAATTTTTAGAGACAACCTAGGATCAGCAGCCAATTTCTCCAATGAGCTTCCAGTGGCATGCGGTTCTCAGTGTGACGCGAATTCGACGTCCCGATGTGCGACTTCTTGTTCGACGTGTGACGGTCAACAAGTCGCCGGCGCCAACACTCCCGTCACTCGACGATACCGAATGAATACGACAAGCGCGAGAAATTTGCTCTTTACATATGAAACATATCAAGTGCCCGATCGAGTGACGGTCACCTATGCTGGAGTGAACCTTTTCGATAGTACCTGCATTGGAACAAATGGCGAGAAGTTGACTCCGATCACTTATGAAGGTTGGATTTGGGGGATCTAGACCCCAAAAAGTCATCAACTTTGGACCCAAAAATTCTCTGAAATTTAAGTAGAAGTTAAGAAATTTGTCTTGTTTTTTGTCTTTTTTTGCTTCAAGAAATCACTTTGAACAAAAAAGTTAGCTTTTTGATTTGAAAGCTTAGAAAATTGCGCTCAAAGTTGATAACCTTAAGAAACCGACTTGGAAAAGTTTAGCTTTAAACTATCAAAATTTTGCAGTAAATCTTTTAAAATTCGTAAAATTTTTCCAATTGTTTCTGGCAAACATTTTTCAAACTTGAGTCTAGCAAAAAATTTGAGTGCAAATCAAATCCAGTATACTGACTTGGCCCTTGATTTGATTTTTTCAACTGATTGGAACAAGCCAGTGAAAAAAAGAGGTTTAAAGTTGTATTTTGTAAAACTCTAACAATTACTCTAACTCTAATAAACATTTTAACATTCAGGCCGCTATTCAGAAGTCCGAGTTGACCTCGAGCCAAATTGTGATGGGACTGATTCAACACAATGGTATTTCACGCTTCCTTGTGCCGGCGGTTGTCAAGGATGTGATTTTAAGCTTGAAGCGATTTGTAAAGACTGACTCTGAACTAGTTTGAGTTGTTCTGAAGTGTAAAAACAGTCAAATTCTTACCCCTAACAAAGGAAAAGATTCTGATTGTCGTTTTTTCTAGGGAGTCAAAGGTGATGTGAATTGCACGGATTTGTCAAATAAGGCCTTCTCCAGCCACACGACAATCTATGCACAGTGCGGTTTCTGCAACGCTCTCTCGACGAACAAACTCGCGTTCGGCGAGGTGCTCGTAGCGTGGCGGAATTTCGTTTCTGCAGATGCCTGGTCCCAACTCGGAACAATGCTCTGTAAATGTGCCTATTGTATTCCGGGAGTTTGCTCAAATTGTTAATGATCCTTAAAGGGAATTAAATGATGTGAATTGTGTTTCAACTCTCATAAATGTGCCTTTTTGTTTGCTAATAACGTTTTAATCTTGCCATCGCACGTTCACTGTCAGGCACTCAAGAGTAAAAAAATAAAAGTTTTTAATTAGAAAAAAAAATTCGTTTTCGTTTTCGAGTTTTGGAGTATAGCATAGAATTGATTGAAAGTAAAGTTGAGTATTTTCCCTGTGGAATCCTATTCAAATCAACGTTTAGCTATAAGAGGCAACCTAGAAAAGTCGACGGGTTCAACGGATGGTCAAGAGATTTCCTATCAAAAATCTATTGCTATATTCGGATTCAGCACCTTCAATTACACCAGATAGAGATTAAGTTTTGTAATTGTATTAATGACATGTTTTAAACTACCCATTGAATCCGTTGACTTTTCTAGGTTGCCGTTAAGCACAAGATAATGACAAGAAAGTACTCATTTCTTTCAATAATGGCTTATGGACAACTTGAAGCCAACTTTGAAATGAAAACGGGGAACCTACCTTTATGCTAAACCTATTTTTTGTTTAGCTAAATGATCACAAACTTTGTTACCTAAATAACTACGTAGAATGAATAAAATAAGAGTCTAAAACGTGAAAAGAAATGAAATTAATAGAATCAAAATATTGGATTGACAACTTGAAAGTGAGTACACTTTTTCGTATTTTCCATAAAACATATTTAATACGCCAATTGAATTAGAATTCTCTAAATAAAAGTTATATATTATCTAATCTAAGACATGCTTGAGCAAATTTGGGTAACTTTTGAAACGAATTTGAGCAGAAATTTTAATTGACTATCATAGATCAATACCAGAATTTTATTATGATTTCTATTTGAGAGTCGTGATAACCTTTACATCTAAAAACCAATAAACCCAAAAGAAATTACACAAAAACATGATAAATTAAACATGCTCGTCGTTAACGTTCACGTAGATCAATCGTCATCTAAAATTTACAAAAATCTATAAGTACTTTCATTGATCGCTGGCCTATGAATCTTGGCAAAAGTTTACCTTGGCCATCATCTTCGAGACCTGTCGCTTTCTTCTCTACTTTCTCCCAATTCTCTTTGTGAAAGACCAGTCCTTCAAAACAATATTTAAACTGATTAGCGGATCTGAACTCACTGTGCATCACATTATCGTAGGTAAAAACATCATTAGACAATTTAGCTATTAGTGCCAAGCTTGAGTCGGGATCCAAAGCGAAAATATAAAATTGAAATCTATGAGTTGACAAATCAAGTAGCTTTACCTTGCAAATATTAACTTTTTCTTCAAACTCGAGATCCTTCTCTAGGAAATAGGCAATCATTTGGGGTATAAAGTTGAAAGTGGTTGTTAACTAAAGCACCATGTAAAATGTTGAAGTTATGCATTTATACCTGTTGAAAATATTCCTGCTCGTCAAATGTAAGTTCTCGGAGTTTGAGCCAGAAATAAAACACGGCGTCACTTTGAGAGCTAGACATATGCATGTTAAAATCACATCCACCCCAAAACTAACCTTTGACCAGCTGAAAAAAGAAGTTTCGCTCCCTCAGGAGCATTCGGATCGATTTCCCAATAAAAGTTATCAAATTCACCGACACCCTAAAGAAAATGACGAAACTTTGTTATCGCTCTAACATTTCAAACCTAGGTTGTCAAAATTATTGCAAACTCCTACCGGAATTATTGTTTTCTTCCAAAAGCTTTCATCATCATGTTCCATATCCCGAAGCTGCAACAAGGTCGAATACTGAAAACAATACTATGTACCCAATCAAACATTCTGCACCTCAATTTGCCCTCCATTTGCAACCAATAGCGTGCGCAATAATTTTGATAGCTCGACACGATCTCGAAGAATGCTTTCTAAATAAGATATCTGAGCGTTTATTTATTAACTAAACTTGGTAATGGTGCATCGATTTCCACAAGTGGTAGATTCAAAAGCTTTGTACGTGTCGGGTTTAGCTCCAATGCTTCTTTGGCTCCAAGCTTCTCGATTTTCAACGCCTAAATCATAATTGCAATTGTTTGTTAGATATAGCTAGGAATCCCAAATTAAACCCGAAAGCTGTAAAAACAGAGTACTTTATATAAGTTAAAGCAGTCACAGAATGGCTTAGATTATTGTGAAAACAAACTTTTCGTATTTTAGCTTCTTCTCGCTGAACTTCCTTTTACAGGTATTCCGTATAATTGTAAAGCTTTCTCGAAAGCGTCTCCCAATCTAGATGCAGATGTCATCGAAAAAGAAATTGACATACGAAAACTGCAAATTGCATTCATCTGATAGTTGCTTTCCAGTGACAAAACCATCGTTCTCGCGAAGCATTGAACATAGCGAATACTTCTCCTAAAGAGTTTTTTGATCAAAAACACATAAAAAAACTAGCTACCTCTAACGCTTCACTCCATTGATTAAATTTTTCAGAAGTTGGAGTTTCTCGCTCAGAATATCTGTCCCATCTAAACAGCTTGACAATAAAAATCCCGGGCAAGTTCACTCACAACGGGAGATTTTCCTTGATGAAGTAAATCGAAATAGGCTGACCGTCCGAAAGAGCCATTATCTGAACCTTTAAGTTGTTCTAAAGTTTTTATAATCTATAAAAAGAATTATTGTTTTTACGCCTAAAGTCACTTATTTCACTTAGGTACATATATTGACACTTACCCATCGATAAAAGTAAAGCGCATCATCGACGTTTTGACCCGAGGCCTTATGATCCTCTAATCCTTGTGAAAAGACATTGTGCGCAAGTTCGGCCACGATAGGATTCTTGTAGGATGATTCTAAAAACAGGATAAGTAGCTTAAAATACTCAGAAAACCAAAAAAGGCGTTTGGCAAAAGGCAATCATCATCAAATGACTAGTTTTTACACGATTTAGTAAACCCAACCGACTTTGATCGAGTAAAAGCCCTTTATTTGGATTCAATTCAAAAAATTCATACTCGGCATTCCTCTTCGTCGAAAGCCACACGAGTGTCGAACGCTGCTTTGGGCTGGAGAAGTCCTTGGACTTTGTGATGGTGAAGTACATCTTGCCCAACCTGGGCTCAGTCCTGGTGCATTCCACATTTCTGTACCTAGAAAAAACCAGGTAAGTTATTAAAAAGGATCAATTAAAAGAAAAATTTATATGAACTAATGAGTCATAGAAAAAAAAAACAATTGGAATTGATTGATACAGTCATGAGCAAAAGTATTGGCCCCTCCCATTGTTGAACTTTAAAACGCAAAAATCTTCGTCTTTTTAAACACCACTAAGAAAAGTTTTTTTAGTATTTCATAGTATTTTTATTCTAGTTTTTGTTGTTTTGTTGCTTGTTCTGCTCGGATGACAGCAAAAGACGATGGAAAAGTTTTATCTACTAGAAACGAGCATGAACAGTCACCGAAAGAAACGATTGTAAGTTTAACATTTTATTTAACTTTTGTAACAATTTTGAGGTCGATCGTCATTTTTAGATACTCCGACGATCTCGCAAACATGGCAACCCTCTGCTCGAGCTACCAACAAATCATAAAACGTTGAGTGTTCTGGACGAACTTATAAAGTATGAAGGCGGTAAGTATACAAATGGTATAAGGGTACGCGGGTGTTTGTTTGTTCGTTTGTTTAGGCTAATTCTACCGTGATAAATGTGGAAATAGACATTTGGTGTTAGCTTCTGATGACGGTGTTAGACTTTTGGCAATGAGTACTGCTTTTTTGGAGATGGTACTTTTAAAGCGATACGTTTCATTAATACTACACGGTTCTCCACACCAGCGGTTTTGATGTGGATGCGTGGGAAAACTGGTGATGATTATGAATCCATCCGTCTTTAGTTTCATCAAGACTAGGTTTTATATGATCTGGTAAATTTCAGCGTATGGCACCGACTTTGAACCCAGAACGTTACACTTCTGATTTCGAATCAACATGTGTCAAAGCTTTTGAGCAAGTCTTCTCTGACGCTGAGACGAACACCTGTTGGTTCCATTTATTCCAGAGCTTCAAAAGGCAGTCTGAAAAGTGTGGGCTGACTTTCTTCTACGAAAGGACTTCTAAAGACTGAAGTGGGCTTATTTTCTTAGATTTTTTTAAAAATAGATTTCTAGGTCGATTGCTTAATAATTTGATTTTTGAAAGCCACTTTCAATTGAAAAGAATTTTAGTGAAGAAAATCGAAAATCGATGTCAGGGAAATGCTGACCTTTTCACTTCGAACAGGTGCTTTTCCGATTTAAGAGTAATTAATGGTGAACTTGATTCACGCAATATTTTTCGAGTTTGGAATGAGCCCGATCAGTCATTTTTGTTTAGCACCGAGATCAGCTATGTTATTTCGCATTTCAAATGTTCGCCATTTTACAGAAGTCCGAATCACCGATTGAATGAGCCTTCAATGCGCATTTCCAACGTTTTAAGTTTTAACAAGTTTTATGAGTTTTGGGCATTTTCCACAAACCCCCCAGTTGATTTATTTTCATACGATAATTTAATGGTGAGTTATAATTTGATTGTTAGTTGTGCTATAAAGTGTCAAACAATTTGCATAAAAAGTTTATTAATAAAAAAATCCCGGTCCAAAAAAATACCCGTATCATACAATTTTTTTCAATTCATGGGTCTTCGGGGTTGTATCCGTTATTTCGAAGCTGGACCACGAGATCGATGATTATTTCGGGGTCGGTAGTAGAAATGACCAAATTGACGGTTCCAACGTCATGTGGTTGACCATGCGAACACTAAATGACAAGAGTTAAAAATTTTAATTAGGTTTCAGTGCGATTGATATTTCACAACAAAAGTTTCACTAGCGTTTTGTTTATAAATAAATCTTTACCATCAAGCGAAGATTAGGAACTGTCAAAACGCGTCGTTTTCTCACAGCGATCGTTTGGCTGTAGGAAGGATTGCCTCGGCGATGCTGTTGCAGGGTGAAAGTTTCACCCTTAAAATCGATTACGATTTCATCTCCGTTGACGGTCCAAGTGAACAGTTGTGCTTGAACGTCTTCGATTTCGAAACGAAGTTGAGCAGCCATACTTCTAAAATCTTCAAGTTAAATTATTAATTTGAACACTTTTTTTGCCGATCTTTATTCCATTTGTTTTCTGAATAGTTACAGCACGAATATCATTATAATTTTTCCCAAATAAAAGTTGTTGATAGTTTAGTTTACAATCTTATGAAACCAATTTAGGTATTTTCGAAACGAATTTGCGCAGATCTTCCTGTTTTTTCTGATAAAACCTCTAAAATCAGAGCCTTTTCTAATCGCTCTTTCTAATAGTCAGCTTTATATAATTAGTACACCTTTACATTGCTAGCAAGGTGGGTTATTTGATCTACTAATCATTGAAAACCAAAAATTGAAAAAAGTTAGTCATACCCAAATTGTTAAATTTAATAAAGAAAGTACAAAAAATTAAAAACTAACCGATTTGCGCGACGAAAAGTAAACAATGAAACTTTCACTTTCTTTTGAGAAATCTTTTTTTGTGACCAATGTTAATTCGAAAATACAAATTTTATTTCTGATTATTCAATTTGAACTTTATTTCTAATTTCTGAAATGAAATGCAAATTTGGTCAACTTTCTGTAGCTAATTTAATTTGATAGAGATGTTTGTGTTTCAACTTACCACCAATCTTTTTTAAAATATATATGGCGAGTAGACTAAAAAACAAGAAAACTAGCTCCAAAAAAATAACTTAGTAATAAAGATGAGCCAAACTCACTCTATTATGAGTACGGTGTAATAAGGTTAAGAAAACGAACGGTTACCACCCATCCGCATGTCGCTACTTTTTGGACCCACTTTTTTTCGTCATCAAATGAATCATTTTTCGTTTCAAACAATTCCTCATCACTTTCTGAAGAGCTCATACGTTCGAGTTTCATTTGACTTTGATAGTTTTATCTAAAATCGTTACATATTTCAAATAATGATTTATCGAAAATAGTGAACTTTATAAATTACCAGAAAACAAAACAATGAATAGTTTAAAAACAAGTCTACTTTCATGATCGTGACTTTCGTAAAAGTTTAGGGAATTGGCCAATAGGAAATTGAGAAAATTGAGGTAAACCCTTAAATTAAGACTCGATCATTTCAAAAAATACAAAGTTCAAGGCCGAACAATTCATTCATTGGTAAAAATTAAACAACAACAACAACATTTAACACAATTAGAAGTGAAAAACCTCAGATCAACTGTTTTGTGAACGGGCAACAGACGGGTTAAAAATGGGCAACACAACCAGAACAATGACGAAAGGACAGAGAATCGACGTTTCCTAACAAAAAAGCGGTATGAACAGTTGGTAAAAAGCCAGTGAGGTACTGTGTAAAAAAACCCTGATAAAATTTCACATACTCAAGCTGAGAATTTGGGCAAATAAAGCGGGATTGGCTTGGAGCCGCGTGTTCGATCTCAGGGTTATTCATGGCTCTCGTCACCAAATCCTCGTATCTCTAAATAAGAAATAAGAAAGGATTTAATTATGACAGAAAATCTGTCTTCATAAACTTTTCTAGATAATAGGTTTGCATACTATTTAGAAGTTTTAGTACCAAAGCGCTTGCTTGCTGGCTTGCTGATTGATTGATCCGTCGCTCGCTCGAGAATCGATGCTCAGATCCGCTCGAGAATCGATGCGTTTGATCTAACAAGAACATCTTAAGCATCAAAGACAAAATTTACTTCATCACTTGTTCCATAAAAAGTTATCGATTGGGCATCGTGTGTCGAATAAGTTCCGCTTGCAATTGACAAGCTGACAAGCTAAACATACCGTGATTAGAATGAGCAACTTTTGAAATAAAATAGCGTTAAAAACAGGTTTACAACTGAACAACTAAACCCACTTGTTTTCGCCCTCATATTCTTCTGCGAAATGTAGCGGAGCGATGACTGCTTGAGGAAGGGGCTTTTATGGAGAATTCATGTAGAATTTCGGGTCGATGATGATCCATTACAATTTTACCTTCTAGACAAACGATTAAGAAGTGAACCCATCACTTCATGACAAACCGTAGAATTGAATAAAATGAGCACTTAAATGAAAAAACTACCTTTGGTTTGATACTTCCGACAAGCTTCCTTTTTTTGAATAGGAGCCGATTTAGTCTCTTCGTCAAACGTTTGGCTCCTCTATCTAGAAATAACAAAACATACACGTAAATACTTTGAACAAACCAAATCGACAATCTCTTTTTCGAGCACGACATACACCATCAGCCCATTTCGAATCACTTCGGCTTTCACCTTCGAACGTTTCAGCAACTCAACGTCTAGCTTCTTAAAATAGGATATTAGTTCGTTGATAATGTAGATCTAAACAAATTATGCTACTGAAAAGTATGCATTTGAAGTATATAACAAAAGGTAACCTCTCCCAAACGAATAGTCCTTCGATCATAATTATGAACATTTTCCATCAACTCATTGTGATAGATCGGATAGGGACTTCCGAGCGGTCTTTTGCCATATGGAGTAAACGCAATAGGCAGATTATCTAAAAACAGGACATTTACAAAAAAGTTGATATTTTTTTGAAAAAGAATTGGTTAAGCGAAGTTTATAACGCACGTACAAAAAGATTCGAAGACAATTGAGTAGAAGGGGACCGAGAGAAACGAAATCTAACCATTTTAGAAATTTAAACAAGAAACATGGACAGAACAATATAAAAACTAGGGAACGAACGAGGGGAAAGGAGTACTCTAAAAACGCGCTATAAGAACACAATAAATTTTACAAAGGGAGAAGAAGCTTAGCGGAACCTGGCATAAGAGCCGGACAGCATTCACCATCCCCTCATGGGAATAAAGAAAAAACTAAAAAGAATGGCAAAAGAGAATTTTGTGCGCGGTACGGTATCCACACTTTAGAAAGCGCGCCGCACCGCTTTTGCGCCAGTCCCTTTAAACGGCACGTAAATAAGATCCTAACTGCTATTCACAAAGAACTTTTCTTTTACCGTTTTCTAAATTAGCGTCAAGGCTGTTTTTTTGTTTTCGAAACAAAATGCTTTTCAGCATCTTCCAACTTTTGGCTGTTCTTATCATCCGGTATTCCACGGCGCAAAAACGGCGAAAGTGAAAGACCCGTAGGTGAAAGACTTTTTTTATCAAATCGATTGTTTAGCATCACCCATTGCAACTCAAAGAATCCGGTGATCAGCCAAAAGAACGGAACAACACCACCATGCATCACATAGAGTGCGAAAGCCACCCCTCCCCCGGCGGGTGGGGCCGGGTATTTTTTTTGCAGAAACCTTGGCATCTTAATTAGTTAGGCCCAGGGGGTGGGGTTTGACCTTTCTTGGAGAACTCACGCTTTCCCGTTGTGATATTCGTGATCAGCACACAAAAGTACCTAGGAAAACGAATTTTCAGGTCCGAATTTAATACCCAAGTCTAGATACTGAAACCATACGGAATATGGAATCTTTTATTAAAGCTGGAAAATCTTATTTACATAGAGATTTGTTGTTATTGAATTTCTACGAGATTTCACCGTATTTCATGTTCGCATTCACCCACTTTTTCACGAACAATTCCATATCTAACCCGGTTTGCCATCAATTCTTCAACAGCTTGATTTGTGAGATTGAAAAAGTGCACTGTTTTGAAAAGATTTGCATACTCGTCGTTCAGAGATTTCCATTTTTGGTAATCGGTGATATTTGGAGTCAAAAGTTCATAGCTGATAGTGGGAAGGCTGAAAAAAATTTAGTAAAAGTAACATGTTAGATGGAGCGACGACGGTTTAATTTCTGTTTACTTGAAAGGTTTTGTAAGCAAATTGTAAACAAAAGGGTCGCCTTTCCAAAAATGAATTTTTTTAACAAAACATGGCCAATTTTTTGTGGAGTGTTCAAGTCATTTTTCTTTCAGCATAAACTTGATTGTAGTTGTTTGGTAGATAATTTTGTTCAAAACCTTTATCAAAAAACCAGTCATCGAATTTGTTTTCAGTTGCATTTCGGCGGTCCACAAGCCTTGACTTTGGGAAGAGAGAGCTTCTCGATGCAACGCGGCCCACATTTGCCGACGAGTCCCTTCTCTTCCATACAACGAGGACCACAGGCCTGAACGTCGACAACAGCCGCTGCTTCTTTCATTTTCTTCTCGATACAGCGAGGCCCACATTTCTCTACAATTGGCTCCACTTTCTTTTCTTCAACACATCGTGGGCAGACTTTCCCGACTTCTTCGACGTTCACCTAAGCTCATGCATCATTTGAAATTAAAAAAAAATAGTTAATTGTCTAAACCTAAGAAGTTGATGGGTACTTGTATTAAAGAGTAGAATACGGAGGAAATTGACGGAAATTTGTAAACTATTTAACGGCAATCTGACATAAGAGATTGTATCTACTATGTTTTTTAACCAATGAATCAGTTCAACCAGATTTATTTCAAAATCTAAAGATCAAAAAGTCCAATTCCGTTTACTGGAATGGTATTGGACTTTTGCTGGGACCGGATCCGGTTTTTGGAATCTTGCAAAAGTATTATGTGATGAAAAGGAAAAAACATGGATTCTACTTTTGCAGTTCAAGTTTGGGTTCAACTTGAGATCACTTTTGTACCTAGTAAAAGCAAGTTTTTCTGATAAAATAACAATTTATCAGAAAAAAATAAGATTAAAGAATACTCATTGTATAGATATTTCGTGAACTCACCAATTTCTCATTCTTGACTCCATCAATCGATGCTCCGAAAGCTACAACCACGACAGCCAAAAGGCAAATGACGGTTCTCATTGCTGGAAAGAAGATTAATAAAAAAGATAAACTACTAAAAGTATTCGAAAAGTTTTTGATATTCAGTACTGCAAATTGAACCTATTTATATGCTTTTTGAAAGCCAGCAGATGATGAAAAGTGAGCATGATTGGGGCGATCAAGCAAAAGTCAGACCACCCTAGACTAATAGTTTATTTCGTTTGGGGATTCCCCTTCACAAATCCGACAGTTGATCAAGAAAATGGTGACATTTTCGTATTTCATTGAGCAGACAACTCGTCATTACGATGATTTATTTCTCGAGAAAATGAGGGGAACACATTAAACGACGGGAAGTGACGGGAAATTGAAAAGAGATAGGGAAGAGTTATCAAGATTAGACTGCAGACAGTCTCTTTCAAATTCTGATAGCCTTTGAACTTTTTCGAAAAAGTTAAAGGAATAGGCTTTTCAGGCTTCTAGGCTTTCAGTGTTTAATCTTTTACAATGGATTGCTTTCCGTGTGCCTCAAATGTTATTTAAATCTTAAAACGCTTTATTAAGTTATGATAATTTGAATATCGTAGAGATTCATACAAAAAACTACCGTCAAGGCTGTTTACAAAGGAGTCAAACGCTATACATAATGAGCGAATGTTGAAGAATGCGAGAAAATGCGGACTTTTAGAGATCAATGAGGGAGAAACTAGGACACGCTTTATCGTCTTTTATAAAAGTAAAAAGTTTCCCTAAACAAACACAGCATTTTTCTTTTCCTCATCGGCGGATGAAATTGTTTTGGATTTGCCTTTAAAGAGACATTAGCCACACTCAAGCCTTTTTTGTAAGAATCTTGAAATTTGGTTTACTTTTGAACGAGGAATCTACTAATCTATCAATGTTTTACAAGGGCTTTTTCGTGAGTTTAAAAGCTGATTTACTGACGTCGTTTGTTTAGAACCGATATTTAAATGTGCATACATTCCCAACTTCACCTCTGATATTCAAAAGCACGTGAACTTTTTGCTTTCTACTTTTGCACTTTGAAAATAAAACCAAAAATCAACTTATTTTTGCAATCTTTTCGTTTATCTGCTGAAAGAAGTCTTTGTAGAGGGGTGAATTGAAAGGAAAAGAGGAAATGAAAAGAATGGAATTGTGATCGCGGAACCGATCAACAACGTTGACATTATTGATCCGACCCAGGTCATCAGTGAAAATACGGCACAAAATATTACCTTCTCTCGTTGGAGAATCAACAGCTTAAATGCGGCCATATGTCAAGATGAACTCGAGTCCAATAGTTTTCTACAGTTCTTACAAGAAGTGAAATAAGAACTCCAATCGATATTTGAAGTATTGAAGTCTTCCAAAATGAAATTTTGTGCGTTTGAACTTTTTGATTGAGCCCAGGTTGGAAATGTATTGAGACAATGTGAAGTAACCATTTCTATGCTGAGAATGATGACTTACTAAGGGTGCTTTTGAACCGAGACCTAGCACATTTTGTGCAATTTTTTTGCGCTAAATCCGATGGTGGAGTGAAGGATGACGGTTCTAAAGTTTCGAGATATTTTGCTTCAAAGTTTACACTAAAAACTCGACCGCGCAGCGTCATATGGACTTCGTAGTTAATGCGAGACATGAGCTCGTGGCCTAGTGGAAAGTGCGCCAGGCTCATAAATCCTTGTACCGTTGTGCCAAAAGCCGTCTGTAAGTTTAAAAGCATCCCTAGTTAGAATAGTACGGCCAGCCAAATGAAATTTTGCGACAAACACCCCGAGTCATGATAGGTTATGACAGTTCATTAACATCCAAGATATTTAGATTTATTCTGAAAATTATGCAAAATTATACACATGCCGCCGCTTCGTTTTCAAAACCTTTTCCAAAAATCGGTTTCTAACGGTGTTTAGCTCAGGAGCGGAGCCACTTTCACGTTTTCCCCTTGATCATTCAAGGATTTTGACCTTTATTGCGATTTTTCACAATTTTCAAACTCCAAGCTGTTCAACTTGCCTTTTCGGCTAAATTGTTTTTTTCGATTGTTTGTTTTCAGGCGGAATGGTAGAAAAGGAGGTCCGTGGGACACTTTTTTTTAGCTAGATTCAACCGAAAATTCAGAAAATTTGTAGCCGGGTTTTTTTTTGGGATGAGGCATCCGAAAATGCAAAAAATATGTTTTTGAAGAGATTACTCTTTACTCTGTGCTACGTATAGTTACGAATGCCGTTTGAAACATGAACATGACATTACTAATGACAATCTTCACTTTTCACTTTCTGCTTCAATCGACAACGAGAAAACTATGCAATTCTCGCCATTCCTACTCTATTGTTCGAGAATCCGGCATACCTATTGACGGCCTTAGGGGTTACTGTAGCTCAAAGCCACGGCCAGATTCAAATTCCCACCCCTCAAAACCCCTCGAGTACAAATTTTTTGCTTTACAACTAGCCTAGATCGCCGTTGTCCGGCAGCCTGTTAAGCCAAAAAGCTTCTGCAAATGTATTAAAAAAGAAACTTTTTATCAAACGAAAGTTTAGTGAACTTTCTGATTTGAGAAAATGATGAGAAAACCAAATATATTTTCTCAATGATCAAAAGCATGATATCTTGTTACATATAAAAGTAAGTGTTACACATGAATGAACTTAGATTGTGATATTCAAATCTAAAACAAGATGAATTTTCTCCTTCATTGAGCGCTTTCGAGATCGTCTCGTCTAGTGAAGATTAGAAACTCAAAGAAGATTAGAAACGCTTCAACGTACTATAAAAGCAATCTAGAACAGACTCAAAGTTCAGTTACACTATTTTTTCAATCATTGACTGCCTTTTACTTATTCAGAACATAAAGACATGTTTTTGGAAAGCTTCAACTGTTTTCAATTGATGTTTCAACTGATTTCTCAATGCTAAACCTTGTTTTACTTTTTTAGAGCTGAAATGATCTCGCACCTATCAGAGATTCACCTCGTTGAATGGGCTTTGGCAATCACGCTGAATGCTGTCGTCCTCTTTGTGATTAGCCATTATTCTCCAAAGACAATGGGCAAATATCCTTGGCTCTTGGCAGCCTATTCAATATTCAACGTCTCCTACACGACTCTTGATGTCATCGTGGCACCGGTCAGGAAATTTCAATCTAACCCACGTTCAAGTAATACACAAGTAATACCGATCGGCTCTTCTTTTTCAATTCTTCAACCGGCCCGGCTTGGTCCTGAACAAAATGAGCCCCAAAGAATAAAAATGTATTCGGTTAATGCCTATGAAATGGCTAAATTTCTCCAGATTTCTCCAATTAATCACCAGATTCAAAAAAAAGTTCTTTTATGATTTGTTGCTAGTGAAAAGTTATGCAATAATCAGCTTTTCGACCAAAGATCCCAGCTGTGGAAAAAACTATTTCAAGCAATCAATGATTTTCATCGACGTTCTCGATAAAAGCTAATTCTTTAAGTGAGCCCAGGCTTTGTCGCTTTAAATTATTTTCAAAAAGCAAAAACATTGCTAAAATTTGTTGAAATCTTTGAATAGAAGCATGTTGATTAAAAAACTATTGAGCTAATAGAACTTTGGCTGAAAAGAACATCAAAGTTGAGTTGACTCCAATGATCGAGAAGTTTCTCCATCATTTCATGTCAAATCAAAAAGTTGCCCCACTGTTATTAGCTTATGATTCTAACTTTTCATTCTAGCCAAACAGAAATTTGATAGCTGCTCTTGTGAAGAAATTTCCACGGATTAGCCATTTCATATGTATTCACCCAATAGATGTATTGAGAAGAATAATCTGGACAAAGTAAGTAAGTGTTTTTTTTCTTAAAAGATAAAAGGGACCCTCAACTTTGAGTTCATTTGGACAAACTCCACTTTGGGTTTTTCACAAGCATGTGCCTCGGATGACTCGGCTCAGCCCGGGTTTTTTTCCTCCGGCCAGTGCTCCTGTACATGCTTGCTCACGTTAGAGCCAAAAGGGTAAGCATATACAGGGTGGTCCACAAAAAGTGGCTCACTTGGCGCCTCTGATTTTTTTGCGCTAAGTTTTGATGGCACATCATGGTGTCAGAATTGGTTTTGCCTCAGGGGCCACGCATTGGCACAAAGTTGATTTTTTTGAAAATTTCATGTATATGTGTCGTAGCCGCTTACGAAATTTAGCCGCTAACGAATGAGGGTATTTCCGGGCATCCAATCAAAAAGTCAACGACATAAAAAATGTTCATAATACATATATTTCATAATAAATTTTTGAAATTAGCTCGTTTGGTTCAGTAGAAAATTTTTTTTGAGCCCCCAAAGTTTAGGTTCAAAAATGCCCTAAAATGGCTATAAAAATTTTCTACTCAGCCAAAAAACTTGCCTAATAGCTCATTTTGTAGCCAATTTGATGTAGTTTCTTAAAGTAAAGCTACATTGAACATTTGTTTTTCAAAGCTAGGAGAAAGAGGGCGAGGAACGACTTCAGTTGAACTCGGTCGCTGTTTTCACATTTGAGAATTGCCCTGAATTTGTTCCTCGCCCTCTTTCTCCTACTTTCAACGAAAAATTGTTTTAGATGGCTTTACTTTAAGAAACTACATCAAATTGGCTACAAAATGAGCTATTAGGCAAGTTTTTTGGCTGAGTAGAAAATTTTTTATAGCCATTTTAGGGCATTTTTGGACCTAAACTTTGGAGGCTCAAAAAAAATTTTCTACTGAACCAAATGAGCTAATTTCAAAAATTTATTATAAAATATATGTATTATGAACATTTTTTATGTCGTTGACTTTTTGATTGGATGCCCGGAAATACCCTCATTCGTTAGCGGCTAAATTTCGTAAGCGGCTACGACATATGTATGGGGACATGTATTGAATAGAGATCAAAATCCATGTATACGTGGAATTGAACTTTGGATTTTCTCTATTTCATCATAAATCTATTTATTTTTTGTTTTCTTTACTTTGTTTTAGTCTATTTAATGCTTTCATTATATTTTCAAAGGGCATTGTTGGATAGCCCATTTCAGAACTCTCGAACATAGTTGGGTTTTTGAGGGCGAAAACCCATCTATAGGGCTTTTTCTAGCGTCAGAAAGAAAGTGATCTTTTTGCTAGCATCTTATTTGTACTAGCTACACATTATACTCGAATCCCAGCCATATCCGTGAATGTTGAGTTTAGGTGGATTTTTCAAATTTTGATTCTGATAAATTTTTGCTCAAAATTTGACCCTGAGTCTAAGCCCCCTAAGTCGCTCGATCAAAATGAAGCTCGCGGCTCAATTTTTAGTTGAGAAAACTAGTTTTTAGCTTATGAAATATTAATATTCAGACTCAGCGAATAAAAACCCTAAAAAAATAGATCTAGAAGATTTTTTGGGCAAAAATTGGTCTGGGGTGTAAACTATACTTTAACCACCAAAAGCTACCATGCTCAGGTCTTTGTTTTTCGTCATAGTGAGGCTTAGCGGATTTTTTCTCTAGACCTGCTACATTTTTGGGCGAATCTACACGATAACCTCGTGGACGATGGTGTTGAGTGACGAGCAAGTGACCAACTGGATGCTCATTCTCTATTGTAACGGCTTCTCGCAATTGCTTTTCTTTCTCAGCTCCCAGTTCTTCTATCGCTACGTCGTCGTTTGCCGGTTTGGAAACATTCAACCATTTTTCCTTTTCTAAAAAGATGTTCAGCCAAAAGTCTTTTCCAAAAAGGCTAAAACCATGGCTAACCTAAGCCCTAAGCCTAAGCCTGGTCTGAAATTTTGGCCAGGTCAAAAATCGGTTTTTGCCTGATCTGAAATTTTTGGTTTTGAAACACCGCTTAACCAATTAGAGAACTCTTTTGTATTCATTTTAGCTGCTTTTAAGTTAAATTGTCGCTAATTCTTGCCTCTAATCTTTTTTCTGGCATTCATTTTCGAGTATAAAACTCTAGTTTGTTTAGTGTAAATAAAAGCAAAAGTCTTTATGTTAATAAAAAGTGGGTTTTTTATATTTCCTTGCTTCCAGATCATCTTGGTTGTCAAAGCTTGAACCCGTTCCGACAACTCTGGCTGCCATTTTGCTGTACTTTCTTGTGTGGTTGGTTTTTCGTCGTTACCAAGGTTCAGAAAATGGAACTTTGGAATGCCGAAATATAATTTTTGTAGCTAAATATCTTGATATTTGTTAAGAGATTTTAAAAATGCGACAAAAACATATTTTTCTTTCAGAAATTTTTTTTTAGCTGCACATCTTTTAATCTCTAAAAACAATATTTTAAATTTCTAAACCAAAATTTGTGAAATGAAAATTCTGAACTTTCGTAATGCCTTTCGTATTTCTCCTATTAGTGGTGTGTGGACGGTGGACACCTATGTGGCTCTGAATCGAGACGAGGAGATTTTCGCCCAAATTGAGGATCAGTACAGGTCGACATTAGAGAGTTAGGATTGGTCCTGGACCAAAATTTTTGCTAAGCCACAAGCAAGCCAAAGCCAAATTGCCCGCTGGCTTGGTTTTAGCTTTTGGCTTTTGGACCCGTGAATGAATCAAACCTATATACATGTGTAACGTGGAGTTTCTTCTATAGCTTCCTTGTATTAGGTTGTTCGGATATAAACAAGCGTTACTAAACTTATTTTTGTGAGGGAAGCTTTTATAACATGTCTTTCTGTATTTAAAAAGTACGTTATTTTGTGCATATTTGGAATCTCTTTAACGGATAATTTCTTATTTTTTAAGATCTTTTTTCTTGCTTTAGATGACCGACTTGAAACATCAAGTTCGCGTCTGCGTACTTTACGACTTCAAATTGAGCAAAACAGCCGCGGAATCCCATAGAGATTTGGTCAAAGCATTTGGGAATGATGTATTGTCCGAAAGCCGATGCCGAGCCTGGTTCCGAATGGTGATGAAAGTCTCGAGGATGATGAACACTCTCGTCGACCTCAAGGGGTAGACAACGATATTTTAAGGGCTGCAATCGAACCGGATCCTTGTCAAACGACGCCTGAACTTGCTCAACAGTTTCTATGTCCAAATTATACCATTGATGAGCATCACCAGGCCATTGGAAAGACGATCAGATGCAGGAAATGGCTTCCTCACGAATTAAGCAGTGCAAAAAAGGCTTCACGGGTCGCTATTGTCGGAATCCTCATCCGCCACGCTAAATATCATGGCTTTTTTGATTCTCTCGTTACTGGAGATGAGAAGTGGATCCATTTCGATAATACTTCGCGAAAACGGAAATGACTAGGACCAGGAGAACGGCCAAATCCGAACCGGACATTCATGGGAAAAAGATCATGCTCTCGGTATGGTGGAATAACAAGGTCCTTGTGTATTTCGAGCTTCTACAAACCGGCCAAACAGTCACATCCGACCTCTACAAACAGCAACTTGATCGGGTCAATGAAGTTCTCATTCGTCAAGGAGTAGACACATCAAAGATAAAGTTCATCCATTACAACGCTAGACCTCACGTTGCAAAAATGGCTCAGCAAAAACTAGAGAATCTAGGATGGGAGGTTTTACCACATCCGCCGTATGCTCCCGATTTGGCTCCCTCAGATTACCATTGATTCCGGTCGATTCAAAACTTTTTGGCCAATGAGAAATTCAAAAACCGTGAAGATGTCCAAAATTGGGTCGCCAAGTTTTTCGAGTCACGGCTGGCTGAGTTTTTTAAGAGCGGCATCAATTCTTTGCGCAAAAGATGGCAAGAAGTAATCAATAATAATGGTGGATAGACTTTGGATTAAACTGTGTTGTTTCTGTTTTTAACCCATTCGAAACCGCAGCGTTTTTTCTTTTTTTTCGTCTACGGACCAAGCCCTTTTTTGACATTTTTGACTCCGAAGCAGTTTATTTATGGTTGCAAAGATGTAAGAGAGTCTCCTACACAATTTATTTTTGATGAAGAACGATTTGGATTTGACTTCAGTACTTTTCAAGATCCTATCGATTAGTATTCTTATTTTATCGACGACAAATTAATCAATATGTTAGTAGGCGAATCTAATAAAAATGGAAAAAGGAAAACAAACCGGCAGGATTTCGATGCAAAATCTTTCAAGCTCTTCCTGGCTTCAAATGGAAATCGTCAAATTACCGAGGATTCGTGACTACTGGAGTAGCAGGCCTGTATTAGGAGGATTTTCCCACATGTCCCACATTATGTCAAGAGCAAAATTTGAATCTATTCTTCGCAGCCTGCGTTTTTGTGATAATGAACTGGATCCTGCAGGAGATCGGCTTTATAAGTTTAGAGCTATTATGGAACATTTCAATGCAAAACCAGAGACTGCATTGATTCCGGGTAAATATGAAACATCTTTTTTGCCCACGTAATTTGTAGATCTGCTACAATTGGAATATACATGTAATGCTGAAAAACAGCAAAAAAAAAAAGCAATTAATTGAATGAAAATAGCTCAATTAGCGCTGCAGCGAATAATCGCTGCAGCGGTCCGTTCCTGAGTTTTTGCTGAAGCGATTATTCGCTGCAGAAGTTTCGAATGGGTTAAGGTAAATTTTATCGACTACTAAAACGCTCGTTTATATCCGAACAACCGAATAGATAGAATATCACACAAAATAACTAATGGAAGGGGAAAAGCAGTCGTTTGCCCTTTTGGGAAGCCGGAAAATTTGCCTTAGTCTTTGGCTTTTCTCTCGGCTTTAGGTTTCTTTTGGCTTTTTGGCTTAGCCTGAAATTTTTAGAGCAGCCAAAAGCCAAGCCAACCGTTGGCTTAGACTTGGCTTTTTAGAACAACCCTGCTTGTCATGCTGTGCTATTCTTTGTTATTTTAATAGTTTTAAATGGATTTTAGAGCCGTCACTGGAAGAAACATTAACGGAAGCGGCTCGATCGTTCAGGCTTTTGAGGTCAGAGTTTTTTGGAAGAATCCGATAGACAGAGTTTACGAATATAAACCTTTTTTTAGTTGATCAAAACTTTTTTCAGAAAGTCTCTCTTTACATCATCCTTCGCTCATACATCGGAATGCTTGTTTATTGTGTGATACTTTCCTCCACATCGGCTCTCATCATTTTTTGTGGATGGTCTTTGTATGAAGTGAGACTATTATCGTATTTCTTCTATTATAATGGCATGGGATTCTATTTTTCGGTGTCATTTTTTTCTGATTTTTGAAAAAATCATAAAGGTGACCATGTGAAAAATTGTTTAAAACTATTAACTAAGAATGCCTTCAAACTTGAAATAATTTAGATTTTACTGCCATCGCTTTTCCTACATGCATATGACCCATATCCATCATTTTAGCACTCTACCAAATCGTGTTTTGAAAAATGAAAAATTGGTTTTTGCTGAGCCTTCCAATGTAAAATTAGAGTGCTATTTTACTAGGAGGTGCCATTCTAATAGAAGAAATACGATTTCATTGGTCTATCGGACTAAAAAATTTTTTAAGACACTGGAGGAGACAGGGAAAAGCCTCAAGACGAGAAGCATGCAAAAAGAGCTCTTCAAAGCGTTGATCTTTCAGGTAAACTTCAGAGTAAAGTGAAATTTTGAATACAGATACGACGTAAGTGTCTCAAATCTTTTTCTAAAATAAATCTCATACTTAACGATATGGTGGTGACGATTTCTAAACTGAATATATTAGGTGTGTGAAAAAGTAATCCACGTTTTTTAATTTTATCTGATGACCAAATAAGACGCTGTCTTCTCGAAAACCCTCGTTCAACCTCTTCAGAAATAGGCCTTACATTAAATTGTGATGGGTCAACCGTAAGGAAACGCTTGAATGTCATGAATTTTATCAAAAAGTTGGACAAATGGATACCGTATGAACGATAACGCGCGACCACATGTCTCTTTACAGACTCGACAAAAAATCCAGAGTGTTGGATGGGAGGTTTTACCACATCCACCTTATAGTCCAGACCTTTCTCCATCTGATTATTATTTATTTTTGTCTCTGTCTAACTTTTTGGCCAATAAACGGTTCAATTCCGAAGAAGATGTCAAAACCGAGGTTGATCTTTTCTTCGCCTCTAAGGACCAAGATCTTTATTATCGTGGAATGTCTTTACTTGTAGAACGTTGGCAAAAGGTTGTTCTTTCGAATGGTGATTACTTCGTTGAATAGAAATTATTTTAACGAAACTTATGGTCTTTTATATTTAAACGTTAAAAACGTGGATTACTTTTTCACACACCTAATAGATTAAAACGCATTGCTTTATTTGATCTAAAAAATAATGCTGCGCAAAACTAATAGAGTGAACACAGTAGTTTAAAAAATGTGTTGATTTTTTTTAAAAGAGAACAAAATCCAGTTGATCGTTCCATTGATATCCGTCTACATACCAACGTCGATTTTTTTCCTCTCGGCGTTGCTCGGTTTCGATGGATGGGACACGGAGATGTTGACAATCAGCATCATGCTCGATCCAATCCTAGAGCCTCTTGTCATTATGTATTTCATCAAGTGCTATAGGTTAACCATCAAACTTTTTGCTTTTTAGCCTAACATCTTTACAGGCGTCCCATCGCGCGTTTCCTTTGCTGTGGCCAAAATAGCGTGTGCGGCTTTGAAACAAGCGTTGGTTCATCAAAATTTGATCATTTAAATCATAAAAAAGTTTTTTTCTGCTGGTGAGCCGTATAGTTTCTTTTTCTAAGCTAAGAAAAACTAAAAATATGTTTAAATTAATCAAAGAGAAAAAACTATTCAGGAGAGAAAGCACAATGGTTTGAATCGCACAACCACAGGAACAAACACAAATGCGAGCACCAGCAATCGAAATCAGATCTCTCCGGAAAGCAAGGAGACCTCACACCACTCGTTTCATGGATAATTTCTTCTAATTCTTTGGAAAACACTTTCAATTCTTTGCTACTCAATTAAGTTCAAAATAATAAAACTGGAAAATTCCATTTTTTGTTTTCAAATCGTAAGAACTTCAAATAAATGGCTTTACGCAACCCATCAGGTGCTATTTACCTGAAAAAGTTAAATATTACAGTGGTAGAGAAAACTAAGTAAAAGAACTTAGTCAAAATTGTTGAGTTGTCAATCCAAAACAATTCGTCGGTCTTTATACGTTTTTTTGACATGCAAAATCATAAAAACAACGAAACTTTTTATCAAGATTAAAGAAACTTAAAAAGCTACGTATTTAGAGGTCGTTCAGATGAGGTGGTACGGACGGTAGCAACCCCGAATGCCACCCATAGTTTTAAGTTTCGCCGCTAATACTAATAACAATTCATGTATTAGAGACATAATTTCACTTATTCTTGTGCTTCATTGCTTATAGTCGCCTTACGCTCGTCTAATCAAAGTGCAACATTTTCAGCATCTTCCGGCCCCACCCGCCGGGGGAGGGGTGGCTTTCGCACTCTATGTGATGCATGGTGGTGTTGTTCCGTTCTTTTGGCTGATCACCGGATTCTTTGAGTTGCAATGGGTGATGCTAAACAATCGATTTGATAAAAAAAGTCTTTCACCTACGGGTCTTTCACTTTCGCCGTTTTTGCGCCGTGGAATACGGAATCATAAGAACAGCCAAAAGTTGGAAGATGCTGAAAAGCATTTTGTTTGGAAGACGAAAAAAACAGCCTTGACGCTAATTTAGAAAACGGTAAAAGAAAAGTTCTTTGTGAATAGCAATTAGGATCTTATTTACGTGCCGTTTAAAGGGACTGGCGCAAAAGCGGTGCGGCGCGCTTTCTAAAGTGTGGATACCATACCGCGCACAAAAGTCTCTTTTGCCATTCTTTTTAGTTTTTTCTTCATTCCCATGAGGGGATGGTGAATGCTGTCCGGCTCTTATGCCAGGTTCCGCTAAGTTTCTTCTCCCTTTGCAAAATTTATTGTGTTCTTATAGCGCGTTTTTAGAGTACTCCTTTCCCCTCGTTCGTTCCCTAGTTTTTATATTGTTCTGTCCATGTTTCTTGTTTAAATTTCTAAAATGGTTAGATTTCGTTTCTCTCGGTCCCCTTCTACTCAATTGTCTTCGAATCTTTTTGTACGTGCGTTATAAACTTAGCTTAACCAATTCTTTTTCAACTAAAAGATAAAATCTACCAAATCTTCGTGGCGCTCTTCTTGGGTTTGGTGTCTAATTTAGAAAAAGGATTGGTGAGTGAAAAGGTATTGGGTAAGATTAGATCGTTATTAGCTTAGCCATGTAGTTAGCACTTTTTGCCATACGACTCTCATATAGTTGAACGTTTTGGTACTATAGGATTATACGCCCCTACACTTAAGTACCTAGCTAATTTACGTTCATCACGAATATTTTGTCTAGTTCAGGCTTACATTTATCAACGCTAGTTTAACCAAGAAATTGTATTCCAAAGCACTGCTAATATTCACTTAGGTTGTAAAATGATTTTTTTCCTTTTCCTTACCTGGTGCTTATTTCCTTTGAAATAATCAATGACGTGTTCTTGGAAGAGCTTTTTCACGTCTCTCATTGGGAAAAGGCGACTTGAGCGGACTTGAGCTAGAGATGCTTCCTGTTGTATTCCAAAGCACGGCTAATTGGTCACCACTGCTTCTTTGAGTCTCTGGGAAATCTGCTTATAAACTCGGGGTGCGATTTTCGAAATCCCATACAAAACTTTGCACGCTTATAACTCCTGCCAGAATAGCGTTCAGCAAAAACGGATAGCAGATTCGGATTTTGCGTGAAATTCTACGTCGGATAGTATATGACTCGTGTCATTTTGCCATCCCACCTGGTTGACCTTCCCTTGTAATTTAACGCATAATCCTTTCAAGTCTTTTTTTTCCAAATGTTTTTTTGAAAATAATACCGCCTTTTTTTCTCTAAAACACGTCAAATTGGCTCAATATGCAATCTTTCTTAAAACTCTAACTGACGGCTGAATAACAGTTGGGATTACTTTAATTCTTGCGATTAATTAATGATATACTTTTTCATTTCAGGATGGGTAGAAGGTGAGCGACGTTACAGTTTAATCGTCAAGAAGAGAAAAATGACGATGACTCGTTGACACATGAATTGCGAGGGATTGTGATGAGTCAGACAAAAGGATACAACTTTATCTCTTTCTCGAATGATATGGAAGCTGTTTATCAGTTGGTTTTTTAAAAAAGTAATTAGATGCCCTGGATAGCTTCTGGTATTGTTCTTAAATTTGAATTTAGTCGAAAAGATACGAAAAGCAAAGGATTTCAAGAGATGGGACTTGGTGGACACGTGTATTGCCTCGTCAAAGGGTGGGTGTTGCTTTTTAAAATCTTAGTGCTTTGAAATTGAAAAAATTTTACAAATTGCAAGGTAAGCAATCTCTACTTTGTTGAACTAATAGAAAATGTTAATTTGTTGGTTATTTTGACTAATAAATACATTTAGTATGCAAGCGGAAGAGCGAAAACGAAACGCCTCGATGTGAAATTCTTAGATACCATATGATTCCAGCTCCGGCCTGATGGGGAGTTACAGGGACGACCGATACTGGATTAGCTAAGGTTGCGTTAATGCACGATATTAAATTGAATACTAAAAATATCAACTTTTTTTGTAAATGTACTGTTTTTAGATAATCTGCCTATTGCGTTTACTCCACGTGGCGAAAGACCGCTCGGGACGTCCCTATCCGATCTATCACAATGAGTTGATGGAAAATGTTCATAATTATGATCGAAGGACTATTCGTTTGGGAGAGGTTACCTTTTGTTATATACTTCAAATGCATACTTTTCAGTAGCATAATTTGTTTCGATCTACATTATCAACGAACTAATATCCTATTTTTAGAAGCTAGACGGTGAGTTGCTGAAACGTTCGAAGGTGAAAGCCGAAGTGATTCGAAATGGGATGATGGTGTATGTCGTGCTCGAAAAAGAGATTGTCGATTTGGTTTGTTCAAAGTATTTACGTGTATGTTTTGTTATTTCTAGATAGAGGAGCCAAACGTTTGACGAAGACGCTAAATCGGCTCCTATTCAAAAAAAGGAAGCTTGTCGGAAGTATCAAACCAAAGGTAGTTTTTTCATTTAGGTGCTCATTTTATTCAATTTTAAGGTTTGTAATGAAGTGATGGGTTCACTTCTTAATCGTTTGTCTAGAAGATAAAATTGCAATGGATCATCATCGACCCGAAATTCTACATGAATTCTCCATAAAAGCCCCTTCCTCAAGCAGTCATCGCTCCACTACATTTCGCAGAAGAATATGATGGCGAAAACAAGCGGGTTTAGTTGTTCAGTTGTAAACCTGTTTTTAACGCTATTTTATTTCAAAAGTTGCTCATTCTAATCACGGTATGTTTAGCTTGTCAATTACAAGCGGGACTTATTCGACACACGATGCCCAATCGATAACTTCTTATGGAACAAGTGATGGAGTAAATTTTGTCTTTGATGCTTTAAGATGTTCTTGTTAGATCAAACGCATCGATTCTCGAGCGGATCTGAGCATCAATTCTCGAGCGAGCGACGGATCAATCAATCAATCAGCAAGCAAGCGCTTTGGTACTAAAACTTCTAAATAGTATGCAAACCTATTATCTAGAAAAGTTTATGAAGAGAGATTTTCTGTCATAATTAAATCCTTTCTTATTTCTTATTTAGAGATACGAGGATTTGGTGACGAGAGCCATGAATAACCCTGAGATCGGACACGCGGCTCTCCAAGCTAATCCCGCTTTATTTGCCCAAATTCTCAGCTTGAGTATGTGAAATTTTATCAGGGTTTTTTTACACACTACCTCACTGGCTTTTTACCAACTGTTCATACCGCTTTTTTGTTAGGAAACGTCGATTCTCTGTCCTTTCGTCATTGTTCTAGTTGTGTTGCCCATTTTTAACCCGTTTGTTGCCCGTTCACAAAACAGTTGATCTGAGGTTTTTCACTTCTAATTGTGTTACATGTTGTTGTTGTTGTTTAATTTTTACCAATGAATGAATTGTTCGGACTTGAACTTTGTATTTTTTGAAATGATCGAGTCTTAATTTAAGGGTTTACCTCAATTTTCTCAATTCTGTTTTTAAACTATTCATTGTTTTGTTTTCTGGTAATTTATAAAGTTCACTATTTTCGATAAATCATTATTTGAAATATGTAACGATTTTAGATAAAACTATCAAAGTCAAATGAAACTCGAACGTATGAGCTCTTCAGAAAGTGATGAGGAATTGTTTGAAACGGAAAATGATTCATTTGATGACGAAAAAAAGTGGGTCCAAAAAGTAGCGACATGCGGGTGGGTGGTAACCGTTCGTTTTCTTAACCTTATTACACCGTACTCATAATAAAGTGAGTTTGGCTCATCTTTATTACTAAGTTATTTTTTTGGAGCTAGTTTTCTTGTTTTTTAGTCTACTCGCCATATATATTTTAAAAAAGATTGGTGGTAAGTTGAAACACAAACATCTCTATCAAATTAAATTAGCTACAGAAAGTTGACCAAATTTGCATTTCATTTCAGAAATTAGAAATAAATTTCAGATTCAATAATCAGAAATAAAATTTGTATTTTCGAATTAACATTGGTCACAAAAAAAGATTTCTCAAAAGAAAGTGAAAGTTTCATTGTTTACTTTTCGTCGCGCAAATCGGTTAGTTTTTAATTTTTTGTACTTTCTGTATTAAATTTAACAATTTGGGTATGACTAACTTTTTTCAATTTTTGGTTTTCAATGTTTTTACCTAAATTGGTTTCATAAGATTGTAAACTAAACTATCAACAACTTTTATTTGGGAAAAATTATAATGATATTCGTGCTGTAACTATTCAGAAAACAAATTGAATAAAGTTAGGCTAAAAAGTGTTCAAATTAATAATTTAACTTGAAGATTTTAGAAGTATGGCTCCTCAACTTCGTTTCGAAATCAATAACATTCAGGAACAACGGTTCAATTGGACCGTCAACCGAAATGAAATCGTAATCGATTTTGAGGATGAAACTTTCACCCTGCAAAAGCAGCGCCGAGGCAATCGTTCCTACAGCCAAACGAATGCTGTGAGAAACCGACGCGTTTTGACAGTTCATAATCTTCGCTTGATGGTAAAGATTTATTTATAAACAAAACGCTAGTGAAACTTTTGTTGTGAAATATCAATCGCACTGAAACCTCATTAAAATTTCTAACTCTTGTCATTTAGTGTTCGCATGGTCAACCACATGACGTTGGAACCGTCAATTTGATCATTTCTACTGCCGACCCCGGACTAGACCGTGAACTTGTGAACGAGCTTCAAGATAACGGATACAATCTCGAATGAAGACCCATGAATTGGCAAAAAAAATTGTATGATACGGGTATTTTTTTGGGACTGGGATTTTTTATTAATAAATTTTTTATGCAAATTGTTTGACACTTTATAGCACAACTAACAATCAAATTATAACTCACCATTAAATTATCGTATGAAAATAAATCAACTGGGGGGTTTGTGGAAAATGCCCAAAACTCTCATAAAGCTTGTTAAAACTTAAAACGTTGGAAATGCGCATTGAAGTTTGTATGCAAATGTGGTTATTCGAATTGAAGACCAAATTAAAATGCAAATTTTGCGGGGCTTTATTTACATGGATACTTTCTTTAACCAATTCTGAACAAAAGAAAAATCTTTTTTCTTCTTGGTTTTTTGCAATCTTGAACAAATGCTACGACGGCAATCCGCCAATCATTTTTCACTTTTCTATCTCTTTTTTTCATTTCGTTCTCAGTCTCTTTTCAGATCACCGCAAAATTTTTGTTCTTAAACAAAAGAAACGAAAAGGAACGTAGAAATTGAAAATTTTTAGTGATATTTGTCTTTTTTGTGATCTTAATCAAACGAATACTTTCTTCGACCAATAGCGAAAAATTTTCTCATTCTGGCTCAACGATTAGCAGAGTTTAGCGCATAGCAAAACGTTTACTCATTCAATACTAATATTTTGTTTTTAGTCGATCTCTTCCTGGAGAAATGGCACCCGATTCTTAACGTGACCGCGTCACTCAACCTTCCCCAAGCCCTCAATGAGAAGATCAGCTTCATTGCAACGGATGAGTTGGCACTGGCAACACTTCGACTTTAAGCCCAAGCCGATAGAAATCGACTGCAATCACAAGGATTCGATGTCACTCATCATGTTTCTGCTGAACCAAGTTGGAAGCGACGGACTGGCCAATCTTTACCTTAACATTGCTGCATTCAAATTCTTCAATGAAGAACCAAACGAACAGCACGGAAGGTTCTTGACGGCAGGCAGCCAAGCAGCCGCTCGCACGACGTCAACTACGCATCTAAGGCCGACCCAAGCTCAGCACATCCACAAGATTATCGATTTCGGCACAACGGCTACTAAAGTGGATTTGAGGACAGCTACCATGGTTCTGCTGATGTAAATGTGCTCTGATGCTGATTTGGGACAAATAATGGAATCAAACATCTCAGAACTACCCTGAGCTCGACCCTTATTGCTCAATTGCACACTCCAATGAATCAAAGTCATCAAGAAACAGGACAAGAAAAAGTGATATCTTGAATTACGTACATTTTCTAAATTTTCTTTATTCAAAATACGAGCACACACCGTAAGACAGCTTCCTTTTCGCTAACTTTTTTGCATTTTTTTGATTTTCCTTTTGTCGAACAACTGTGTTGAATTATGGTAATTTTATAAAGCTCACAAATTGTAGTGCAAACGATTCTTTGTGTCAAAAAATCCACTTAGAAACAATTTATTCTCAATTTCACAACGCAATCAAATCGTTTGTCGCCTCTTCTTGAGAGCCTCGAAGCTAAGCGCAGCACTCTTGCCAGTGATCATCTCCAGTGTGTCCCTTCGATCATCGTCGATTCTCCGGAAACACCAAATGCTGATTATCCTGAAAAATCCTCAGCTTTAGCTTGATTTGCTTGACAAGTTACTAAAAAAAATAGAAAAACGAATCAACTGAATAACTTGAAAATCTCTACAAATCTCAAGTCATTCCGTTGATTTTGTTTCTCTATTTTGCACCAATTTGATCGATAAACAAGTCTTGATAATAAGATAGATAGATAATAAGAAATAAACAAGATCGATAAACAAGTCTTCACCCCATGATAGTGTAGAAAAAGAAATATCGATTAAGCTCGAGAAGTGAGTCAAAGACGCTCAAAGTGTTCGATCCAAATGAGCTCTTAACGAGGATTCCGATGCTTGGGAAGACAATTTTTGTGATTAGCATCAAGAAAGAGTTGGTGAGCATCTAAGAGAAATTAGTTTAGAGTTGAAAATTCAGAAAACCAGTCATTGACATTTTTATTTACCTGTAGCATCAACAACGATTCAGCATAAGATACTTTGTTGTGAACTTTTAACTAAAATTAGATTGACATTAGACATGTCCATTTTCGAGTTTTGGCGGCCGGGTCGGGTCAGCGAGTCACCCGGGACAAAGGCCGGATCGCGGGTCGGGTCAACGGGCCACTTTTGACCCGACCCGATCCGACCCGATCCGACCCGATTCGACCCGATCCGACCCGATCCGACTCGATCCGACCCGCTGCCCATGTCTAATTGACATCACTGCAAAGAAGTCAACGGGTTACGAATTTGTGAATCAATAACACTGGAGACTGGAGAAAATGCTTGATTAGAAGAGGCAATGAAGCTCTAACCACAGCAATAATTGCAATAAACTAATCTTAGCAGTGTTCAACTTTTTAGAGTCTTTTTAGAGATCCTTGTTAATGAAGGAGTTTTTCAGGATCTCTTTGATAAGTCACTAAGGAATTTAACTGTAGTAGAGTAAATTTGCGTAGAGAAAATAGTAGAGTAACTGTAGCTAGTAGCAATGAATAAGTGAATGTTACCTCTTTAACTTTCCGTCTTGTCACAACATCAAAAGCAATCATAAGAAACATTGGGATAGCGTGAATCCAATCAAAGAGCTCGTTGAGAATGAGTGATCCAGGAAACAGCAAATAGATTTCAGCCGCAATGACACAGAGAAATGAGGGAAGGATTGCTTGGAGGAGGGGCCATTTCAGAGAGTAGCTAGATTAGAGTTTAGAGATTAAAGATTAGAGATTCTTTTTAAACTTTAAAAGAACGGAATTTAGATTTGGCTTGAAACTTTCTGTTCCACTCACCTAGAGTAAAATCCATCAAAAAAGACCGCTAAAAATCGATTCGTTGAGATGAAAAGTTGACAGATTTGTGTAATCTCAAATAGACAATAATGAGTAGAAATAAATCGATAAACATTCTCATAAAAAGCTTTTGTTTCAACTGTACAATCGACATTTTTCATCGTTTTCGTCTCCGAAATTTGACAGTGATAATAGAAGGAATAGATGAGAGAGAAGAGGAATTTGTGGATGTTCTCCGTGGCGATCAGCAGCCTGAAATTTGCAAAAATTTACATCAAAAGTTGTAGGAAATAGACAAAATGAGGCTTTTCAAAATCTCTCACCGGATTGGTAGCATCAACTCATCGTTTATAAACACAAAGTAAACGACAAGTGGTGAGATGAAGAGATTGACAATGTTTTGCTAAATGTTATTCAATTTTTTTTAAAACTCCAGTCAAACCTTGTTAGTAACCAAAGTTTTTAAAGGCTCAAAAAGAAAAAATACATTTATGGACCTCTTACATATTTGTCACCTAACCTCGATTATGAATGAATGTTTTAAAGGTCACTAACGAGGTCTATATGTCATTGCTGTTCAATTCTTTCCTCAATGATGCCCACTTACTAATTTATTAGTAAATAATTGATTTTTATGGTTTGTTTGTTTCTTTGTTTTTTGTTTTCTCTTATTTGTTATGGTTTATTAAATTGTTTCTAGTTGACGAGTTGTTGAACTGGTCATTTCGAATAGACTTTAGAAGACGATTTTCACTTTCTAAAAACCACTGTTCTTTGAGCAAACAGAAATCGTTCCTAAAGTACTTTTGGATAATCTTTGACGATTTGAGATTAATTACAGTCAAGCATGGGAAGATTAATTACAGCTAATTACAGTCAAGCAGTCAATTGCAGTCTTAGGTGTGGACTGGTCCGATCCGGAGGGTTCGGGCTGGAATGAACCGGGTAAATCGCAAAGAGTCTGGACTTAGACCGGTCCGGGCTGGCTTTTTTTGAAAGAAGCCTTCGGTCCAGTTGTAAAAAGTTTGGTCCAACGGATCTGGACCAGACCGGAACCGGTCCAGACCATGCTTGACTACAATACCCTTTTTGGTTAAGCTATTGACACTGTCGACAAAGCTGAAATCATTTAGCCATCTGGCCATTTTTAGCTTCTTCGAGACAAACCATGTAACTTGCAAGTAACAGCAACGCTTCCAATGTTTCCATCAAATCTACATCAATGTCCGCTTTTTCCGTTTCGTTAGACCATTTCAATGAGTTTTCAGCTAACTGAAGCCCCACATAGATCCCTAGATTTCTGCTTGAAAAGCTTGTTTTGCTCAACAAACCCTCCAGCACTAAAACCACTAACAAAACAATGAAAATCCCGGAAAATCGATAGAATATTTTCATTGTGGACAAAGTTCAACAAAAGCGAAATTTATGCTTACAATGATTTAGAAGAGCTGACACAGCTTTGGACTCAAATCACTAAAACTCTCACGAGTACAATTTTTCTTCGTTTCGCTAAATTTGGCCTTTTTTTGTATGAGAAAGTGTTCTTCACTGGCCCCCAAGTTGCAGAAAATAGTTTTTTTTTGAAAATCAGATTGGAGATCGGTTGAAGAAGATCTTTGACCGAGAACTGATCGACCCGGTCGTCAGAATGCTAAAATTCTTGAACTCGAGTTCTATTTTGCCAATTCTATACGATTTCGCAATTTCTATCAAAACACATTGAGAACTTGCGTTTCCTGTGTCACCATGCAAGATTATCAGTTTCTCGACGCTTTCTTAACGGTTCTTTAGCGGCGATAGAGACTATAAAGTCTATAAAGCCGACGGATTAACGCACAAGTGGAAACGTTTCGATTCGCATTTGATTTTCGTTAAAATCAGCAAAATATATTTTGTTTTCTATGATGGATTGTTTCTTATTGACATTAATTTTCTCTTTATTGCTAAAAGTCAACGGTGGAAATCTGCCAAAAGATTGCACGGATGTTTATACGTTGACCAAAGGGCAACCATTTTTTGCGATGAATCTCGATCGGTTGGCTGGCAAACGGAGTGAGCTTTGAGATGGACAATTATCGCTAATATTCTTTTAGAAGACAAAATTTGTGTGGATATGAGTGTTTTTAGCGGCCAAGCTTTGACAATTCACGCGACGACTCTTTGCACAGTGAGTTTTCTTGCTAAAAAAGAACACTATCTAACTAACCTCAAGTACTGTGCGCTTTTGATTTCTTTTTTTGAACGGAGAGTTGGAAGTTTGAAGTTTCAGTAGCACGGAAATAAGCCGGTTTTTTTTCTAAAGTAAGCTTAGGCTGTCTAGTGGGTTTGGCCTGGACGACGAAAGCGAAGTCTTGGTCTGAATCAGGCATTGATTCGATCCGAATCCGAAATCTTTAAATGTGAACATTTTTCGGATAATCGCTTATCCGAATCCGATCCGAAAAAGTTTAAATTCGGAGAAAAAAAACTGTTTCTTAACTGAGATCAACAATTGTTAACTCGATCATGAAAAACGCATAGTAGACATGTCCATTTTCGAGTTTTGGCGGCCGGGTCGGGTCAGCGGGTCGGGTCAAGCCAAAAATTTTTGCCGGGTCGGGTCAAGCTCAAAATTTTCGCCGGGTCGGGTCAAAATATCAATGCTAAAGAAAGTTATAGTGGTTTGTATTCTGGCTCGATTGTTTCAACTTCGTGCGAGTACGGTCCGTTTCGACAGGATGTACTTTAGTCCATCCAAAAGCACTTGAGATTCTCTATTTTTTTGAGTTATAGTTCATATCAATGCGACAGATTTGAAGCCAGTTAGAAGTTTTTGTAGTGTGACAGTTCGTCATTTTTGTAGTTTATAGTGCCCATGTTCATCGTAGTTTAGAAAAGATAGTTGGCATTAGTCCAACAAAGCCGGGTCACGGGTCGGGTCAGCGGGTCATCCGGGAAAAAAGCCGGGTCAAGGGTCGGGTCAGCGGGTCACTTTTGACCCGCCCGATCCGACCCGACCCGACCCGATCCGACCCGACCCGCTGCCCATGTCTAACGCATAGCATAAAGCATCACAAAGCAACCGAAAACATGAAAACATTTCGCATGAAAGTTTGAAGCACGTAGATTGAAACCGGATCATGTCTAGCTCACAGTCAACTTTCCCAATCACTCTTCGAATCGGCACCAATATCCAATCAAAAAGTGATCTCTTTAGAAAAAGAACGAGTTCTTTTGCGTACAGAAAATCCCGTTGACGGTGAACGAAATGCCATTGAGCACGCTGCTTCACGATTCGGCCACATTTTGTGATCAGATGTTGGGAGATGTTTTGTGGTCGATGAGCAGAGAAAATTTTGCAGGGAGCCGGTGAATCACGATGGGGCGACGAAGTACCGCCAATCGTGCTTCTATCTCTGTCAACTCGATGATTGTGAGGTTTTCCAGTTGAAATCGATTTTGCCTGGCGATGAAACCATCCTCCAGCAAGCCTCGATCACCATTTCCCCCCACGGATACGCGAGAGGTTGACACGTTTCTCTAAAAAAGATTTACTTCACATTTTAAATACCTTACGAGCAAAAGACTAGAAGAGCAGAAAATCTAGATTTTTTTTTGATATGCAATTGAAAGTTTGTATAAAGATTGTGAAAACAGATCGTCATTCAGCAAACAGAGCTGCCGAGTAAAGCAAGTAAACTATAAGAATGGTCATAAGTTACAAGGCCATAATCCCTCAATGCTGGCGCATATGGGTGTTACGAACCAAACCAAAAATTTTTGGTTTTCGAGCCAAAAAAACTGGTTTACTATAGTCGATCAGTTTTTGGGCCGAAAAACAGATCTACTTTAGTCTATCTGTTTTTGTATCAGTAGACGATATTTTGTTGAATAGCGGCCCAAGTATTCAGGCCAATTTTATGGCCCGTTCATTTTAAACCATTTTTTGTTGTTGTTGTGCACTTTTAGACTCACCAAACGACAGATTTGGGTCGTCAACGACTGTAAAGCCGGAAAAGACGGTCATCTGGTATTACATCGGTAAAAAAAGGCATCAACAAATTGCAATTCTTTTCTCAAAATTCCAGTTGCTGGTTCACTGATCGGCATCATTTGCCTTCTTGCTGTTGCTTTCGTCTTTTATATGATAATCAGAGATGTCAGAGAAGGCTCTCCTATTGAAAATCAGTATTTTTTAAAGCACTTTTCGTTCTAGTCAAAGCATGAGCTTACAGGGATTCGGGTGAAGGAGCGGAAACGAATGTACGGCTAAACGCTTACCGACCTTCACATCAAGCAGACGCCAAAGTGCCGTCTTCGCAAAGATAGCCACAATTTTTGTATATTATGAATAACCTGGTATGTGACAAATTTGCTTGTTTTGTCAAATGAATAAAGAGCTAAGTGGAACCAGGAAATGGTTATGAAGTTGAGACGATGCATTAGACATTGTCGGATCTATCGGATCTATTCGTTCTGATATGAAGTTTCCTTGAATACTTTCTCACTTTCATCTATCAAGAAAGGCCAATTTTTGTTGCAAAAAGTTTGCGAAGCCGATTCGCTGTTGTTTGAGGTCGAGAATGTGACAGAATTGACGAATAAACGGATAGCCGAGACTCCACACAGCCCCAAAACTCCCACCATTGCGGACGTCCATTGCAAAATAGCATCTAGAGAGAACTGCTTTGATTCTTGATTCTAAACTGTAGATGCTGTTAGAAAAAGTAATTTGGACAATGATTTGCCTAATGCCCTGAAAGATCTTCCTGCACGTTTTGATCGATTTTCTTCAGAACAAGAATCCTCTGTGATTCAATCAAATACGGTTTCGTTTAACGAAAGTAGAGAAATCGTTTACTTGCAAGAAATCGTTTACTTGCAAGAAATCATTTACTTGCAAGAAATCGTTTACTTCCGTTTTCCTGAGATTCAATTCGGTTCGCTTTTACTTTCCTTTTTGAATCTTGTCCATTTAAAACACTAATTTTAAGATTATTTCATCAAAAATATATGTTTTCTCTTCTTCACTTAATTCACTTAATGATCAATTCTTTAAAGGAATTCTTTTTGATTTCAATCAAATACGATTTGTTTCGAAAAAAAAGTAGCGAAAACGTTTGCTTACGATCCGTAATTCTTCCGCTGAACTCTAAATTCCATTTTTTAAAAGACCTTTTTGCCTTCTTTGAGAATGTGTTTTTTTTAGTCAATTCTTATTGTTAATCTTTATCATATCATGCTCATAAATAAACTCTTTATTATATTATTTATAACAAGCACACAAGAAATTGCTGAACCGAGTTTTATTTGACCCAAAAAATTTCGGAATTGACAACGGGCAAAAAAGTTCTCATTAATCTTTACACAGACAAAAAGAAAACATGAAAATACATAAGAAATCAGCATTTTATGAGTAGTACTGGAGTCGTTCTTTAAGGCAAGAATAGCACACAATTTCGCCATGTTCATCGATTTTCATATCGCGCAACTCGGGCACCACATCACCGCAAAGGGAACAAGTCATCGTTGTTATCGCTGCTGTTGCCTCTTCGTCAGTCATTGTCCTTTATTTTTAAACCCTAAACGATTAATCAATGAGTTGTTTTTGTTTTCTGAAGTGAAAAGAGTTGTCGCTAAAGTTAGAAAAAAGATAAAGAAAAATCACTTTTGCGGTTTACTTTGAAAACGCATAAATGAGCGAGTGAGATTTTTTGCCGTTATTGCTTGGATTCGCTTTTGAATCGAGGTGGGAACTAGAGATTGTTCATAATTCGGTCCGTTCCGGGAAAACTTCCGGGCAAGTTCAAATTTCGTTTAGAGTTATCGATTCGATCAGGGCTCGAAATTTTAACCTTCGAGCCGAGTCAAGAGCCGGATCGGACTAAAAAAATCGGCTTGGAACCAATGTCCAGCGGGCACTAGCCATGTGATTCAATACAAGCCATTCAATACAAGTTCTAGATAAAAGTGAAAGGATCTAATCACAAGGAAAAAAATGATGAGGCTATCTATCGGTCAAACAAAGAATTGTTAAGGAAGCGTTGCTTTAATGCTTTGAAAAGGACGTTATTTGTGTTTATTGGTAAAAAGTGAGACTGATTTCTAATTTGGGAAATGTTCGTGTGTTCGCAAACTGAACAATAGTTTTCTTTTGTCTTTGGTCGAATCAAAGAAGAGAACAACAGGGAACAAACGTGGAGAATTGTAGATTGTGTCGTTAGGGAAAAGAAAATGTGGGCGTCGGTACAGGGAAAAATGTGCTTTTTCGTGAGTACCAGGAAGAGAATGGGGGAATTAGTTATCTGCGATCATCTGCCGTCATTCATCCTTTCATTCATTCATTCATTCTTCCGTGGGCTTCCCCGTTAGAAAGCATTGTATCGTATAAATTCTACTATAAGTAACCTCTTTTTTTTCTAGCATTGGAGTTGAATGTTTTCCGAGTTTGACTCATAATAAGTATTTGATCTCAAAAGGAGTCTTGAATAATGAAAAACTTGAGAATGAGAATGAGAAAGAAAATGAGAATGATGAAAAATTAGTTATTGTCGCAATTGAGATTTATAACGACTGCCAACCTGGATGTGGATGTGCACAATGAGCGTGTAAAGAGCACTACAAACCCGGCGACTATTACGCACTTTTACCTGAATGTAAATAGAAAAATGGAAAAATAAATGAATATAATTGGAAAAAATAACTGAAACGAAGGGATGAATGAAAAGGAAAAGTGAATTCTAGTAATTTCTGCCTTGGGAAGGCAACATTTTGCATAAGAAAACAAAACGATAGCTTGCACTAAGCTTTTGCAGAGTCAAGTCTCTAAAAGTTTCCCAATTTGGTATATAATTTTTGCATATTCCGCTTAACAGTATACAGTACCGGACAATGAAATGTCATATTTGAAAAACGATCGTCACTTTCGCGCGTCTGTAACTCCCTTGTCTTTGAGATTAAAAACTATTAGTGTTATACATTTTCTGAAAGCTCTTTTCAAGGGCTACACAATGATAATATTATCAGTATTTAGAAATACAATAAAGACAAGGGAGTTACAGACGCGCGAAAGTGACGATCTTTTTTCAAATATGATTTCAAATATGACATTTCATTGTCCAGTAGTGTAAGTAAAATGAATATATGCACACAAGCTAGAGCAATGCTCAACAGGAAGTTTACCCAGGGAACCATTACGTACGGCTAATGTTTAAAAGTTTCACAACTGTGCTAACCATTACACCACAACGCACTTGATCTCCTTTACTCCAGAGGGAGTTAACTCAAGTGTTGAGTAGAGGATTGGGTATTATCGATGAAAGGGGAAATCTAGCTAACTTTCAACCTTAAATTTATTAGATTGGCAACTTGAAAGTTGGTACAGTTTTTCGTATTTTCCAATCGAATAGTATATGGCTCGTGTCATTTGGCCATCACACCCGGTTGACCTTTCCTTGTACAGTACTGGACAATGAAATATCATATTTGAAAAACGATCGTCACTTTCGCGCGTCTGTAACTCCCTTGTCTTTGAGTTTAAACTATTAAGTATATTTATTCGACACGAATAATGAATTACAATACAACGGAGGAAATTTTTACCTCTATTGCCCAAATGTTGTTAAGAAAAAACCCATAATAATGGGAAAAAGAACCAAATTTTTCTAGCCGTCGGGATCGAACCTTTGACCCTCCGACTAGGAGACAAGAGTCCTATCCGGTCGGCTACGACGGCTTATTAGTGTTATACATTTTCTGAAAGCTCTTTTCAATGGACAATACACAATGGTAATATTAATATTTAGAAATACGATAAAGACAAGGGAGTTACAGACGCGCGAAAGTGACGATCTTTTTTCAAATATGATATTTCATTATCCAGTAGTGTAAGTAAAATTAATATACGCACACAAGCTAGAGCAATGCTCAACAGGAAGTTTACCCAGGAAACCATTACGTACGGCTAATGTTTAAAAGTTTAAAAACAAAACACCTTACCTGATTAGGCGTTGTTGGTCCTTTTGAAAAAAAATAAAACTTTTGATTTTGGCGCTGTTTGTACATGGGCGCTGTTTTGATCAGCTCCCGTCAAAAGTTTAAAGTTTCGATAAGCACTTCAGCTAAGCAAAGGCCAAAATATCAGCCTGATTGATCTGATAGACCGATCACAGTCTACGATAAAAACCATCACTTTTTGATTTAAAAAAAAATGAGTGGATCTATAGTTTTTGGACAAGGCGTATTAACTCTTTAACAAACCCATTGAAAACACTTCTTTGCACGATTGACAACAGTCAGATTTTTGAAAATACTTTTTCAAAGCCACCAACACCTAGCCAAAGTGAACGTGTTCGTCGGTGGGCACAAGCTTAAAACAAACAATGTTTTTTAGAATATATTGATAAGCTTATTGATGAGTTGACCTAAAGTGGATGAGGGAGGCCACGTTCTGCGTATCCAGGAGGCAGTGTCCACTGCCCATTCGTCAATTGCATTGAAATCAAGCAAAAAGTGAGGAAAACGGACACCTTTCGAATTTTGCACATTTTTCAGCTTGTCACTGCCACTGAAAATCGGAACACATTGAACACATTTTGCCTTGATTCAAAGTTGATTAGAAAATTCATTCAGAAAACGCTACAAAAAAAAACAAAGAAGAGCTTGAAAAGAGCTTTCAGAAAATGTATAACACAAATAGTTTTTAATCTCAAAGACAAGGGAGTTACAGAGGCGCGAAAGTGACGATCCTTTTTCAAATATGATATTTCATTGTCCAGTAGTGTATGTAAGCGAACTAAACTGAAGGCTTTACTCTTGAGAATCCTTGCCTGCAATCCTTGAATTTCTCTGAAAACTGTGCTCCTTATTCAGCTCTATTCAGTTTTTAATCTCAAAGACAAGGGAGTTACAGAGGCGCGAAAGTGACGATCTTTTTTCCAATATGATATTTCATTGTCCAGTAGTGTATGTAAGCGAACTAAACTGAAGGCTTTACTCTTGAGAATCCTTGCCTGCAATCCTTGAATTTCTCTGAAAACTGTGCTCCTTATTCAGCTCTATTCAGTTTTTAATCTCAAAGACAAGGGAGTTACAGAGGCGCGAAAGTGACGATCTTTTTTCAAATATGATATTTCATTGTCCAGTAGTGTATATTAGATGGCCCAAATCCAGCGATGATTTTCCCTTAAAATTAAGCATTTCGAGATTTTCGATACAGATATTCAGATTAGATTTCAATGAAAATTCTTTCTTCTTTTTGCTAAATAATGTCCATTTGATTATTGGAAAAAAAGAAAACTAGAGAATTCTCTGTAGATTCTTTTGTTCTTCTCCGCGAAACATCATGTTATTGCACCTGGGCATTTATTGGACATCAAAGTAAACAAATGGAAAAGAAGATTTGTTTTGCAAAGCTAAAAACAGAAATTTCATCGATTTTCGGCTAAAGTCTGAAAGGAAATTTATGCAAAAAGAATCAACTGAAAACTTTAAAGTCGATGATTAGTCATAACAGGCGATTGGTAAGTGAAAGTGTTCTCATTTTCGAAAGTTTATTTGGAATTTCTAGTTTCATTTCCTGATCTTCTTGACGAACACCTGGCTTGTGATCGTTTTGGTGAAAACGATTTTCGGGAATCAAGAACCGTTTCAATTGTATCGCGGATCGGATTTCGATCGATCGGCTGTCGCTGACGAGAATCTCACATATAATAGCGTTTTTCTCTACAAGGCATACTACGATTTGAGGTAGCCATTAGACCTTATCGATTCAGTTTCGTTTTCGTTTGTGTTTCAAGTCAATTCGTAAGTTTTCAGTTTTCGAGTTGTCCTGAATGGAACCGAAAAAAATGATCAAAAAATTCTGGTATCCAGGCTGAAATCTGGATCTGAAAACGGCTAAAACTCGATGGATTTTCAGATTAAATCACCCCAAAGCTGATTACACATTTAGAAGCAGAACAACTTCTTGTATTGTTCGCTGTTCGGAAGCATCTGCTACTATCGACGATCCAATTGGAACCAATTTTGTCGAAATTCTAGAGAGCCATTAAATGCAGCTGATGCACTGAATTCTCGATTTCTTCAACAGACAGCAATCTGCGTTGATAAGAAAATTGAGAATTTGATGCACCAGATGCATTTAATATACGGGGTTCACGAAAGTTTTTGTAAAATTGGATCCGATCGGGCTTTGGATAGTTCGATAGGCTCCTTTAAGATTGAATTTCTCAAAACTGATTACAAATCTAGAATCAGTAAAAAGTTTTGCACTTAACTTTAAAAGCAGACAAAAGCCTGTGGATTCAAAAAGCCTTCCTGGTCCGGAATTAGAAAAACAATCCAGTTTCCGGTCTAAATCTCGACCGTGAAACTCGAGCCTAATCTCTTTTAACGTCAGATTCTTGAATTAAAGATCTCTAACTTTGAATTTGTCTTAGCTGGGGTGCACGTTAATTTTCTTCTATAGTTATTTTCGCATTTATCTCCCAATTAATTTTTTTCACTTTTTTTTTGAGCTTGGTGTCATCGGACCTAAAAAATTGTAAAGTGAATTATGCCTAATTAAGAAAATAAGTATAGAAAAAATCCATGTGCACTCAAGCTAAGATAAATACAAAGTGACAGAGCTCTAGTTTAAGAATTCGACATTAAAAAAGGCCCGGCTCGAGTTTCACGGCCGAGATTTAGATCGGAAACTGTAGAACGTTGTAGTGTGGTATTTAATGTCACATAGCTACTCGGAACCATATTCTACTAGCTAAAAGTTGACCTTTTACAATTCCCTCTGTATATAGAGATCCAGAAGGGCCTCGTATTCGTTTATTGTTGGAGGCAACATGTCAGGGGATTGGCGGTCGCTTTCAAATCCATATCAACGGGAAAGATGTCGGCGTTGAGTGGATATTTCCAAAAGCGAGCAGTATGTTTTCCTGAGAAAGTAGACATTTTACCGAATCGGCAATAGTCGGATAGCATCGGATTGGGTCGTATTGAGTGATCAAATCTGATAGTGACTTTATTGGATAATAGGGATCTGATCCGATCCGAATGACCCATCAATCGGAGTAGGATCAGATCCGCTTCACTTATACGATCAGATAGATACCATGTTTATAGCAAAATCTAAAATGATTCCTTTTTGTTTTCAGTAAATGGAGATCCGTCTTGCCCGAATGACTGGGATACGTGCCATTATCAAGCCTACGATATCGCATCAATGGTCTATTGGGGTGAAGCGCCGGATACGGTGAGAAACCATAATTTCTGATCGACTAAAACTGAATGAAAACTGCCTAAAATCGACGAAATGACTCTGAAGAGTGGCGCACGACTATGGCACAGCTGGCTTTTTATGAGTACCTCCGCTTAACCGATTGTTCTCATTTCTTTGCTTAACTAAAATCGAATCGTTTTTCGTAGATCTTGTTTATGCAAAAGCTCAAAAGTGCGTTTTTGCAAGGCTTTAAAGTTGACCGACGCCGAATTGTTGATGACGATTCACAATTTCAAAAATTTGTTCCTCGAAACTTACAATCATCTGATATTCTTCAATTTTCAAATTAATATAACCTCACCGAGCCCTAAGCAATATACATGGCGTTGGTTAGAACTTCAAGATTCTTTCTCAGATTGATGAAGCGTACACACATACACACAGCCAAATACACAGACACATGCCCTTTATATCTAGTAGATGATCAGCGAAAGCTACCAAAAGTCGATGAAATCGATGGCACATTCTCAAAATTTACTCACAACCCATTAGATATGGTTATCGGATCGGATATACCCGATCGATCCGCTAAATTGACTAATCGAATGCATCCGATCCAATGGACCTGAACACTCCTATCCGATTCAAAAGTTCTCCGAAAATTTGAGGTTTCAGACCGATTCGATCATCCGCTCATCGGATACGTCCAATCCGATGAGTCTGATCTATCAGATCCGTTCGATCCGATAGAATCGAAGCCATGTCTAACTAGACATGGGAAAATTCCAACCCGAACCTAATTCCACCTTCGTTTACTTGGCTGATTCTTGGCCGAGAAAACGATGGTGGAATTAGACTTGGGTTGAAATTTTCCCATGTCTATGTGCAGATCTTCAGGTGACCGTGTTTCATGAAGATGTCTCCGTGGAGGTCAAACTGCACCGTGCTCCATCCCCGTCCATGTACACGAATGATATCTCCGTTTGTGTTGGACCTATGCATTGGTAGGAACTCGAGACATGTGTCTCTGTCCATGGTCTTGGCTTTCGTTCCGGGGCACTCAAGCCTTTTCTATCTTGGTTTAGACCAGGACTGCAGGTATTTATCAGAAAATACCAAATACCATAGTAAACCAGGACCAAATCAAGACCAGATCAGACCCGGTTCGGCCTTTTGTGGACCATTTTTTTCTCCTTTACGTATGTTTTCAAAGTTTTTACCGGCACAATCACAGTTTCCCTGAATTTCCAACATCAAAAAACAGTTTTGCAACCAAAAGCTTTCCCGCTTAAAAACTTTTTGCGAACTACAACTTCTGATCTTTTCTGGTCTGGTTTGAGGATTGGTCTTCGGCGAGATCCGTCATCTAGATCAAACCAGGACCAGATCAAGGCCAGTCAAATTGCAAGACCATTTTAAAAGTCATCTTTTCCACTCTTTGAGTTTCCGAATCAGATTGCCAAAGCCTAGGCAAACCGGGATTGAAGTCCACAATCGGAGAATGATTGCAGGTTCAACGATTGGCCTCGATTGATTGTTTTTGCCGAATATTTGAAAAGTCAAGGGATCAAGAAGTGAGTGGGCGGATCGGATAAGGGAATGGAAAATAACTGTATTTGATCTACATTGTGTTAGATTGTAACTATTAAGAGTGAAAAGTTGGCTTTGTCGATCTTTCCAGAAGAGGAAAGGAGAAAGAGAATCGAAAAATTAGCTGTATTTTATTATTTTTTTTAAATCTCAAAAGAGAAAAGTTGATTTTTGACTACTTTTGCAAACTCAGCACAACTTTAGATTTCTTCTACATGTTCAATCCGTTTCGAAAACAGCCAAGAAAGTGTTGGATTATTATGAAAAGGAGGTATCCGAAAGATCAGATTAAAAACTTTTTGCGAACTACAACTTCTGATCTTTTCTGGTCTGGTTTGGGGATTTGTCTTCGGCGAGATCCCTCATCTAGACCAAACCAGCACCAGATTAAGACCAGTCAAATTGCAAGACCATTTTAAAAGTCATCTTTTCCACTCTTTGAGTTTCCGAATCAGCTTATGTATAGAGAAAACAAGAAAAATCTAGGGATTTCTCGAGGTTCGTGGCTGGCCATTGCTTCCATTCAACAAATATGTTAGTGATGCTAAAGAGATCGGTTGTCTATTCGATTCAGTGGAATCCCAACTTGTACACCTACAATGTGGCTCATCATCGTGAAATGTACGATTGCGGGTTCTGGTCGGCTTCGAAATGGACATTCTACGGGGATCTCGATGATTTACCGTATATTCGGTGAGTGAAGCGTATAAGTTTTTGTATTTTATATAAAAAACTGTAGGTAATAGATTCTAGTTTTGGTCGCTTCCGGAACAAAACCGGTTTCGAAGCAAATTTTGCAGGACAGCCAATCCGATCAGTTTTAATTGATCAGAAATGATGGCTTCTCACCGTAGCCGGCGCTTCGCCCCAATAGACCATTGCTGCGATATCGTAGGCTTGATAATGGCACTTATCCCAGTCATTCGGGCAAGACGGATCTCCATTTACTGAAAACCAAAAGGAATCATTTTAGATTTTGCTATAAACATGGTATCTATCTGATCGTATAAGTGAAGCGGATCTGATCCTACTCCGATTGATGGGTCTTTCGGATCGGATCAGATCCCTATTATCCGATAAAGTCACTATCACTAAAAAAACGAAGTACCCCCATAAACAACAATTTCCGTATAATAATTAAATTAGAAAATAAATTTTGCTAGTTTCTCGAAGTACGACAGACTTTTGCATACCATTTTCCCATATCCAATCATTTTTTTCTCTTTAGGAACCGTTCAACTTCATATTTTGACTACCTCGAGAGCTGGCTGCCCAAGGAGAAGGATTTGGGTCTGTTTTTTTCGAAAATTCAAATTCAACTAACCATTTATTGGAGAGCAAGACATCCGTTTTAGTCCGTTTTAGCCAGGTTTAAGGCTTGGGCGACTAAACTAGGTGTGTAGCTATGACTAGATCTTTTGTGGTCTTGTACGAATTCGGAGAAAGTTTTTTGCTTCAATCTGGAGCGTTGAATTTCTAAGCTAATCTGCTCTCATCTCCGACTTGACCACAACAAGCATGTATATCAAATTTGACTATCAAGTTTAACTATCAAGTACTTGCGGGCCACCATTGATTCAGTAGTTCGGGGAGTGGGACAAATGCGACCTTTTTTTTTTGCGCACCCGGACATTTGCGCACCTTTTTTTCCGCACCTTGCCCATTAGCGCACCTTTTTTCGCGTTTTAAAAAGGCTCTAAAAATCTAATATTAACCAATTTCTATTCCAAAAGTTGTTTTTCTAGGTAATTTTAGGGTGTCGAATTCAAATTTTGACATAACAGAGCGTGTGGAACCAATTTAAAAGACAAAACGGCTAGGTCAAATTACAGAAAATTGTCGATCTTTCTCTTTGTATAACTCCGTCCGTTCGCTTCCACAAGCTCTGATATGCCAAAATTTCGATTCTACGCCCTAAAATTACCTAGAAAAACAACTTTTGGAATAGAAATTGGTTAATATTAGCTTTTAGAGCTTTTTTAAAACGCGAAAAAGGTGCGCTAATGGGCTAAGTGCGGAAAAAAGGTGCGCAAATGTCCGGGCGCGCAAAAAAAAGGTCGCATTTGTCCCACTCCCGTAGTTCGCTCGTTTGAAGGCGTGTGTGAAAGCTAAAGGAGGGGAATTTTAAAAATTTGTAATAATTGATGTTTTTTTTGGATCTTTTTACATTTTTTGCTTCAATAAATTTGTTATAAAAGTGATTTTATGAAAAGTTGTGAACGCTTAAAAAACGATAACGCTTTTTAGCAACCATTTATTTTCCATTTTTCAGGATCCCTCCACTTTCAACACGTCGGTCTAACATTTCGTCCCCGTATCACCGAAAAACCATTTGATTACGAGAGCTTTCTGAAACTCGACTTCTTTCGTGATCCGATCGTTTTCGACAATTTTCGATACGCGAAATCGGCGTGGTTGACGAAATATGTTCGGCAAAACTACATTCATTGGCCGTGGAAGTATTTTAGCGAGAAAAGGGGCATTAACGTAAGTTCTTTTTAGTTTTTTGTTACAAGGGTACATTTTTTTTAGTTATTTTGTTACCTTTACAATCCTAAAACTTCTTCTTTGCAGATTCCCAAAGAGGAGGCTCTCTATTTGCATATGAGGGCCAATTTTGATTGGGACCCAAATGTGACCAGAATCGAGAATCGAAAATACATGGATGTCAAGTTTTTTGAAGAGGTTTGTGTGGTTAATTCTTGCATTTTCGGGCTTCTGTGTGTATGTTTTTAGTGAGATTGTGTGCGTTTTCAACGATTCGACGGTCATTTAAACTTTTTTTTTGTTGAAAGTTTCCTTAGCAGGAATCCGCAAAGAGATTCTTGCTAAATTAAAATAGCAAGAATATCTTTAAAAGGCCTCTAGAGGGAAAACTAACTTTCTAAGTTTCAAGAAAGTTAGAAATTATGGTTTGCACTGTGTTTTTGTGACGGAGTGGCCAGTTTGCACTGTGTTTTTGCGACGGAGTGCACTGTGCCGGCGCTCGCGGGTTCGACTCCCATCCAAGGCAACTTTTTTGTCTTTCTTTAGAATGTGGTCTTTAGAATGGTCTTAACCCTAGAATTTTTTTCTTAGTAATTACCTAATAATTTAGAAAGCAATTGATGAAAAGCTAGAAGAAATCCGTGAAAGGATTCGCGAGATTTTGCGGGAGGAGAAACCCGAATATCGGGGATTCGAAGTGATGGCAGCGATGGATCGATGTGTCAAAAGGTTACTCATGTCGAAAATTTGATCCGATAACCCTTTCTAGAGTCAATATTTCTCGGATCTGTTTTCAGATTTGAATCCGGCATGAGATTCTGGACTAGATAGGTGAATTCGGGGCAAAAATATACATTATGGTAGAAGTTATAAGATCAGCAATGCATTTTTAAAAAATTTTTGCTAAAAATGCATTGCTAACCCAATAACTTCTGCCATAATGTATGCATATTTTTGTCCCAAACTCACTTATCTAGTCCAGAATCTCATGCTCAAATCTGTTTACAGACTCTGTTTACAGAGAAATATTGACTCTAGAAAAAGTTATCGAGTCAGCTATCAAATTTTCAACATTTAAACCAAATCCAAAAAATTATCATAAGAAAATACATTTCTATTTAGTTGTAGTTACAATTTCCATCATATTAATGCATTTTCCGATAAACTTTCCTCTTGAAAAATAGCTGCTAAAAGTTTAGCTAGAAATTGAAGCATGGTTCAAGACTTTTACAATGGATTACTTCGACTTGACGACCCTATCCAATCCGACAAAAATCGTATTCGATAACATGTCTATCACTGACTCATTTTTTCCACTTCCAAAGAAAACTCAAAAATTCCAAAGGTTTAGATTGAAACAAGAAGACGAGCCATTCAATAGGACGGAATGTTGGAACCCGGGCGCCCCGTGTTTCGGCGATATTTACCCGTTGGACGAGTGGGTGCTGGCGAAACCGGAAGAGAACAACAAATTTCACATTCTTTGATTGATATTTTGCTTTTAGCTCATTATAAATTGAATGTATAAATAGGGTTTTCCGACGGTTTTCCGACCCAGAGCAAGCGTAGGAAATCGAAATAATGCAGCCAATTACGATTGACATTTTGCTAAAACTGAGCCCTTAACTTTATTTTGCAAACCTATTCAATACATTTTTCATCATTTGAAACTGAAACTCTTAAAACAATGGACAAACTACAAAACTGAAAAGTCTAAAAAATGTGCAGAAAAGTAGCTCTTTCCTGTGAAATCTTATTTGATGCTTTGATTTTGAATAGCTCTGATTCTCTTGTCCTTTCTCTAAAGATCGTTTGTGTGATAAAAAGAGACGGAGGCCACTTTGTGTGCTTTTCATTTGACTTTGAAACACTGAACCAACGATTGATTATTTATTGTATTTTATCGCTAGATTAGTGATTGTGCTAGATTCGGAATAAAATATCTAAATAATCATTGCCCTATCGGCTCTCCCCTCACGCACTGCACAACAAACAAATTTACTCGCCTAAAATGCTCTTCACATCAATTGCGATCTCTCATAGTCAGGAAAGATCTGAAATTTTTTTTCTCCGGAAATTACCGTTATTTCATTTGAACGGCAAAGCAGCCAGCAACCGGTCCTAGTTTTTATCTACTATATATAAAGAAAATGTGTCTGTGTGTGCGTGCACACGGCTTCATTTCTAAGGGAAGCTATAGCCAACGCCAAGTATGTTGGTTAGGAATATCCCCATCAAAGTTCGTTTTTTTGTGACATCGTACTCGGCACCGCACGCGGGGATCGAACCGGGATACGGACGCTCTACCCACTTACGCCATGGGTGCGCTTAGGCATATACTATAAATGCAATCTATAACTCGTATGAGAACCTTGATATGAAATCACGGTTTTCATCACAACCGTTGATACACAAACGAACCGAGTAAACAAGCTTTTCGGTGATCGTCGAAAGTCCTACTACAAATAGGTACCCATTCCTTTGCATATTGATGTATGCACAATTAGAAAGTTTAATATATATGGAAATGCTGGAATCTTGGTGTCTTCTGTTTGATTGTCTTGCAAATGTCTTGATGTCTTCTGTTTGATTGTAAGTGCAGTGTGCAAATTTAATGCATCTGCAAATTTTTGTGCAAATTAACTTTTTCGTTTGACCATTTATTCGCTTTTTTATGCCTTGTTGAGTCGTGGAAGAGCTTTTGGATGCACTGGAATGGCATCGGATTTCCCTTTGACACAATGTCCCATACATCCAACCCAAGCAATGCAATTCTTCGGCACATTCAATTCGCACACTTCCCCAGCATCACAATCGTAAGGGGTTTCTGAGAAGCAAGTTTCCTGAAATAACAAATAGATCTTTTCTATTGTTCTCTTTTAGATTTATCATCACTAAAAAGAAGATATTTCTTCTTCTAAGTAAAAAGTTAACATTGTGAAAAGGACACTATATATTTGCACTTTCAGGTAATAAATACCGTCTTTCGAATTGTTAAAAGAGAAAACTAAACACAAGCCAAAAGCATTCAATCTCTTATATCAATCCTTATAAATAATATTTTCAAACAATCCATTTCATAACTAAAATTCGTGTAATGTTTTCATCTCTCCTTCTTTAAAAATCCCCTTTTACTAGTGCCCAATATTTGCCTAGTTGATTGAAATTTCTAGAGCTTTTGATTTGAAAAAAGAAAACTCACTAAATTAGTGTTTTGCAAGAATTACAGAATTTTCGGATTCTTTATTATTAAGACTCACCCCTTCTTTAGCCGTGGCTAAAAGAAAAGAAACGGCCAACAAAACAACGAACAGAATAAAGCCACCTTTCATCGTGAAGATTACTAATGATTAAGGATGAACTGTTTGAAAGTATTTTTGCCATTCGTTTAATAGTAAAATAGTAAGCAAAACTACAAAAGCTATAGTCACCTAGGAGATTCAGAAAAACTGAGAATAAATCATGACAAATGGGGATTTTCTCTCGTTATCAGTTGCATCAGGCTGCCGCTTGCTGTCAAAGATCACTAGTGTATTAGTGAAAAGGTCAAAGGGAGCAGAATGCATACATTCGAACTCCTGATAGACTTGATCGACTTTTTGTAGGCGGCCGGTTGGCGTCGGTCTTTTTGGACACTAACGGCTTCGAAAGTCACACCAATTTTTCCGTGTAACCTTTGCATTGTACATGTACATGTACATGTTTGGCGTTATTTTATCGTGTTTAGATCTGAGCCGATCCTGGGATGGTTTTGACTCAAAACCAAGTCAAAACCAATATTTTACTTTTGGCATCCAACCTGGGCAACTTTTTATGATATGTATTTGGACCCGAAAACCAAGTCCAAATACATATCTGAAAGAAACAAAAAGAATACTAGCTTCATCCTAGCTTCTGAAAAGAATACTTGCTTTTCTTTAGCGTAAACCTGTGTTTTAGATTCACTTTAATTGTGAATTAATGTGAAAATATTATTAGATCTCTATTGCTTACGTATAAACACTAGCTAAACCACGACAAATTGAGAATCGCAAAATAATCAATCAATGCTAGCCAAGTTTCCCGTCGGTGATAAGAAACTCTTTTCATCAGTTCCTCCAAAATATTCTTTTTTGAACAACATGTTTTCCCCCATTTTCCTACCCGAAAAGCTCAAAGTTCTCGTTATTTCTCATTTAAAGCAAATGTCCAATGATGTTTCTTCAAATTTCGAAAGAGCTAGGCGGGTTTTCTCGGGGATCTCCAAAAGATCAGCCTCTATTCACGGGTTTATCAAGAGATTCTATCAGAAGAAGCAGAAAGACAACGAATTTCTTACAACAATGTTTTCGAAGAACGACAATGAACCCAGAAATCCGTCATTTTTGCGGTTTCTAGTTTCATTTTTTCAAGAAACGGAAGAAATTGAAAATTTCTCCTTTCTGCATTTGTTTGTGAGTTCATTTGGGGGAATGCAACGAGTTTTTGTTGAAATTTACCGCCCACAATTCTCTGACAAGGAGAGCCTTTTATCGGCTGATCGATCGCATTTTCGGATCGCAAATTCGCTTTATTCTCCACGGCAAGCCATATATGAATTCGATTTTCACGGATGATTTGAGAAATCTCTTTTGAACGCAAAAAAATCCTTAGCGAAAGTAACATTTCGACTCACCACAAATAGCGACTCGATTTCGGGAATCTATTGCGAGAATTTGAGAAGTGAAGTGGATCGATTCGGGCTAAAAGTTTTTTCATCTGTTGATCACAGAACGGCTGATGATTTGTGTTATCAGAAAATCTTTGAAAGATCAGTTTTTTCAGTTGTTTCAGTTGTTTCAGTTGTTTTCTAGTGTTTCTTTGATCAAAAGATGATTTGAATTTACCAAAAAATCACATTGATTCTCTGAAAAAAAAAATATTTATCAACTAAACAATCACAAATCGGGTTTGAGGATGTGAAGAAACGGATTCGTGTGTCGAGGATCGCCGATGCTCAACACTAAAGCAGGAGTAAAAGCTTTCCTTTGGCTTCTGCTCTCTAGCAAAGTCATGCTTGAAATTCGTCTATTGATAAACCCTAAAATCTATCGATAACCCTTTCCAGTACCTTGTTCAGTGCACTCTCGCCACTCGTCGGCACTAATTCGTCGATTTTCGTTTGTATCACAATAACGAAAGAAATTCCGAGCGCACGTTTTTACCTAAACATTGAAATCATTGTTCTCCTTTCGTAACAACTTCTCCAACTTTTCAGTCAATGTTCTCCCTTACCTGTCTCCAACTTTTCAGTTGCTCTTTGTAGGGTTTCCACTCGCGTCGCTCGATATTCTGAAAGTGAAATCGGGTGCATGAAACGATTTCAATTTTCGTCAAAACTCACCTTATTTTTGTTCAAATCAAGTGCCTCGAATTTCCAATGCAAAACCCGTTCGCCGGTCACATTTCCCGATCCGCCAGCCATGATCATCTCGGTTCTAAAAAGCAGATCTAACACCTTGAAGGTAATTCAGAAAGTAAAAAGCAATATAGAACCAATATAAACAATGTATTGGGTTGGTTATTGAAATTGAAATTGAAAACTGCGGGCTATTGTCATATGTGACAGTTTGAGCACTTTCTTCAAAAGAAACCCATTTTGGTGTCCATGGAAAAGTTGTAGAGAATCAAAAATTAAGCTTATATCCAAATTTCCAAAAAGATACACTTAGTAGTTTCGCTTTAAATTTGTGTGTGTTTTGTGTGTTCTATGTGCGTCGTCATCGCTCGTCGTCTGGCGCAGGGTTTTTACATAAGCCCTTCCCCTCTACTCCTCCCAAACTAAACTGGCGGCTCCGAATCCTTAAATTGGACATTGACTTCTTCTCAAATCAAGGCTAATCTGAATCTATTGGGTTGGTGAATTGAAAACTGCGGGCTACTGTCAGTTTCATGTGACAGTTTGAGGACTTTCTTCAAAAGAAACCCATTTTGGTGTCAATGGAAAAGTTGTAGAGAATCAAAAATCAGGCTTATATCCAAATTTTCAGAACGATTCAAAAACTGGTTTTCAAGAAATGCGAAATTTACGAATTTTCACAAAACTTGCATTTTAAGCGAAACTGCTAAGTGTATCTTTTTGGAAATTTGGCTATAAGCCTAATTTTTGATTCTCTACAACTTTTCTATTGACACCAAAATAGGTTTCTTTTGAAGAAAGTGCTCAAACTGGGATGTCCCATTTTAAGCAGCTCCAGTCCTCCATTTCTGAGTCTCACACTTGTCTCACACACAAACCAGAATTCTACTATGAAAGAGGAATCCGCAAATTGCCTGTAAAATGGGCAGAAGTCGTCAATAATAATGGAAATTATTTGGAATGAATTTATGGTTTTATGTTGAATAAATTTTAGTTCAAAGTCCGGCAGCTTTCAATTCACCAACCCAATAACAATATAACAATATAAAATTGAAGTATAGGTTATTAAAACTTTTTCGAAACACAGTTTACTATGTCAAAAATTTCGTAAATTGCCAAACAAGGTCAAGATGAAATCTCACTTCAATGAGTTCAACACCCGCGCATAGAATTTCGCTCGTCGTCGTCCCTTGCACTCTGAAAAAACAAAAGAAACGATTTTTAAACAAAATAAAAACAAATACAGCACAACATCTATCGAACTCACTTTTAAAAACATGCTTCCCAGGCGGCTTCTTTTTCTTCGTCAAATCTAATCGAACCCGATCGCAGTCGGGTTTCCGTCCGTTTACAGCCGTGTCTAAAACAAAGAACAAACAAATAATCAGAAAACATTGAATCGTATCATGAATTTACCTGGAAACGGCTCGCCGCTCAACTCGTCCACACACCAACAAACCCTCGATCCATCGTGACATTGTACTTTGTTGTAGAGTCTAGAGAAAAATTGGATTTGAATTGATTTGAATTGATTCGAATTGATTTAAATTGATTTGGATTGATTTGATTTGAATTGATTTGAACAGAATTTGAAAAAAAACAAAACAAGGTTTGAACTTGAGTTGAACCGTTTAGAAAATCGTTCTATCAAGTTCACTGGAAAGTCTTTTCTGCTTTTTTTAAAGGTTATTTTTGAAATAAATAATAAACCAATCGATCTATTGTTTTTTTTTATCAGAAACTTCTATTACTTATTTAGAAATTGTTCTTTACAAAATTCTGAAAAGCTTGACTTAGTTAATTTTTTTTTTGAAAGATATGAAGTCGAACAGAGCAGAGCCGATGACTCAAAACGAAAACTCAAAGTTTCGATTTGAGCACTTTTCATCAAAGAAATCTATTTTGATATCAGAAGACAAAAGATAGAGAATAAAAAGTTTGACAGATAGACAAATTTTCATCAAATTTCACTAAACCGTTTTCATTCTATTTTCATTGTAAAGATTTTAGAAAAAAGAAAAACACGAATTCCCCGTCGGAATTTGCTTAAAAATAAGCTAAATCTATGCCAAATTGGAACTAAATCTATACCAAAAATTACCTATTTCATTTTTCATTTCATTCATAAGATTTGGTTGCAATTTAGTATAGATTTGGTTGCAATTTGGTATAGATTTGGTTGCAATTTGGTATAGATTTGGTTGCAATTTGGTATAGATTTGGTTGCAATTTGGTATAGATTTGGTTGCAATTTGGTATAGATTTGGCTCCAATTTGGTATAGATTTGGTTCCAATTTGGTATGGATTTGGCTCCAATTTGGTCTAGATTTGGTTGCAATTTGGTCTAGATTTGGTTCGAATATTATATAAATTTGGTTCCAATTTGGTATAGATCTGCTTCAAAACGAACTCAAATTTGTCTAAAAATGAGCTAAAGCTAAGAGTTAATCCTTTTTTTCTGATTTAAAGCAAGCCATCGCCTGAAGCAAACCAGCAAAACATCATTTATAAATGAAAATTTCAAAAAGACGGACAAAACTTCCCGACTAAAACAATATTTTCCCAAAAAAAACGAACGTGCTATTTTGTTTTTGACAAGACGGAAGAAAATTGTTAGCCGATTTGGTCCGTGCGCTCTCTCGTTGAGCCTCACAGTCGAGTTTTACTTCTAAAAACTCTTTTTTATCTTTCATCAAAGTTTCCGTGAGCTCATGAAATGATTTATTGGATGAAATTTTCAAATAACTTTTGTTATGACTCAATCAAACAGTCACCAATATTCGGCACTATTCCCGGAATTTTTCGCGTTTGCTCGGAAAGAAAAGTGATGTCGAGATAAGGATTGGATTCTTCTAAAGATAAAATATTAAAAGAAAGCAATTCATTCAAGTTTTTTCTATAAGAATTCACTCAAACAGACCTGTTAATGGAATGACAACGTGTTCCGAACTCTT